TATATGAATTAATAGCAAATAACACAAACTGAAAAATATCCATCTAAATCAAGAATGAATCCAAGTTTTCATTCGAACTTGTTTCTCAAGTTTGGGGCAACAAATGGGAGAAGGAAAAGATTTTTTCCCACCATGATATCCTTCACGTGTATAACTCATTTGCACATGTAAGTTATGAAAATAAAAATAAAGTTTTATAAATATTATATTTTAATTTAATCACTACTATTAAATTAAATTTTGATTGTCCGATTTAAGGTTAATTATGATCCTTTCCATTTCAATCTCAATTCAATGTTCGATCGAATCTTGACTCGCTCTACGTCGTGGGTACTGAAATATATATTTCTAATAAATATCTCTCTGATACTTAAATTAATCATGTACTCTAATGATTGATATCAATTATCGAGAACATGTGCACATTGATCTTGGGTTAAATTATGATCATGATATAATTACGATATGATTGACGAGGTATTGGACACATATCGATCGTATGATATTAAGGTATCAAGCATGTAATGCTAAAGTCCAGCCACATCTCAATCACCCAAAGTTCCTTAATACAATTAGCTATATTTTTTTACAAAGAAGTTAAGCTTAATATCTAAATATGGTCATAAAAGTGAGGTACTTCAAATCCGTATAATTTTACAAAGAAATACATCGATAAATACGGCCGAAAGCGAGATTGCTCTATCATTTGCCAACTTATAATCCAATGTCCAATAAAATATATCTCTTTAACAATGGGACTATATAAAACAAAAACACTACTTAGAACAGACTTTGGTCCCATTGAGTTGAGTGAAAGCTGAACACTGCTGCCGGCGAAGCAGGCAAATTGGATGGTCAAAATCTCTATCGTTTCCAAATTAGTCGCAGAACTTGCATGTGCTTCTTCCTGCAGTTTGTCCATAGAACTCACAAAGCATTCACCAGATAACTTTGTGGAAGATTTATCATGAGGAAAATTAGAGAAAATTTCATCTTTTTGTTTTTAGTGAGAACTTAGATTCAAGAACTTGCTTCATTATACTCTTAATGTTAGGTTTTCTAGAAAACAAATAATATCTAAAATAGATTTAATGTTAGGATTCAAAATCTCATCTAATATATTTTATACTTAAAACATTGATCTGATTTATCAAGAAAAACCATATACTCAATTTTACTCTCGACACTTATCTTTTATAAAAAATAAATAAATATCTAATTGGACAAAATGTGTATACATCTCATCTACTACAGTTTACGGGATCTACTATATATTAAGCAAAGAGAAGCACTTGGTACGTAGAAGAGGCACACACTGTTTTGCTTACACGTATCACTAAGACAGTGACTGATTCTGTGATAGTCTAAGATAACGATGGCATGAGGAAGAAGGCGAGGAACAAAGGCAAAGATGTGGGAAAGAGACTGAGGTGCGTGAGATCAAACGTCTTCCTGTCTTGCTTTCGTTCTCAACGTCAACGTGGGGCATTGATTAACGAGTACTACTACTACTACTCATCTTCACCCCTTGGTATCATTTCTTCAAAGTGATAAATGAGCCATCACCACTTGTTACCATCTCTCGTAAGTGTGAAGAGCCACAGAGATTTATACGAAAACTGAACTAGAATTACGCATGACATTGTATCTGATGGGTATTCTCCCACTGTTTTGCATACAAGCAAAAATAAATATCATAAATAAATAAAACTTTTGATTGAACTCATAATGTATTCTTTAAGTAGCATGTTTTAATCATCTTCTCCGTTTGATTTTTCAAGTACAAGATATTATCATTATCACCTAATTATATATACACATCCAGTAGCATACTTTGTCTAATATAATAGAATTTTTTTTGTTTTTAAAAATTCTCTTATTACACCTAGAGAGGATATTCTTTTATTAAACCAACAATTACTAAATTATCAATCTAAAGTGAATTTCAAATGTTAAGTAATTGCTTCCAATGATATAATATATTCCTCCCATTCTTCCCAATCTTAATATAATAGAATCCTCATAATGTTCAGAAATTCCTCCTTATTTTGAAGAATTACATGAATTCTTTAATTATATATTTTATTTTCATGTAGTAACATAATAGTAAATATGTTAATATATTTGGAGGAATATATTATATTAAGATTTATAATAGTAAATATGTTATTATCTAATGGTATACACATGTAAACTCCTTTTTCTAAGATAGGAAAGAGCATAGTTACTTTTCTTTTTTTATTTTTTAATTAATCTGATTAGAGAATATCATTGACTAATTATTATCTGACATGTAACTTTCATGTAATAATCAAACTAGCACAAGGGAGACAAGACTTACCCCTTGGTTTACTCACATGGATATAAGTCCAAAGTAGATAGTTGTGAGTTACCTTCTCTCTTATCGCCTACGTAGACAAAAGTTTATTATTAGAAGTGACTAAGGGCTATCTCTCCACATGATAATCTTATCCCTCTACGACTAAGTATAAAAAAACTTAATTTAGTATAATTATTAAGGGAGGGCACCTTTTATTGCTCATCACCACATTCACCTTCCTCGAATTACTAATTTTGTTATCATAGGGACCACGTTAGAAAATCTCTTTCGACCTCGGTATTCGTATAAGTGACACCTCGAAAGATCATCGTTTCCATCTTGAGGTACCTTGAATACCTTGGACGTCAACAACATCTTCTCATAATATTTTTGACACTTGAAAGAGGGCTCAATGTCATAGGAACGGTCGCTCGTTGATATCCTCAATAAATACTTGAGTAAAAAAGGCTTTGCTCCTAATCCAAAATAACTTCACCTAAGGGGGGCAATAGCCATTATTTATATATACTGGTGCATCCATCTCGACATAGACACCAATGAGATACAAACATCTATTAAACAACCTCAGTCTCTCACCCCTTAGGATGACCCTGAGCTTCCTACTCATCCTCTCAAGATGTTTTTAAACATCACTTAGCAAGTGCAAATGCTAATAGATATGATATAGACTTTCTCTTCATTTTTGCCTCAATTGACCTAATAGGCGATGCCAACAGCTCACCCATAGTCCCCAACTTTGCCATCGACACCCATCAAGGTTTCTTGACTCGACACAATGTTAACATCCTAGGAGCACCCAAGGTTTGTCAAATCATTGATTGAGAGGGCACTTCGGTCCTTGACCATAGAATTCAATGGACTACACCATCCTAAGTCTGTCTTACTTAAGTCTGAGGTCTAATCAACGGACTTAATGGAGGACTCCTTATAGATCCAACTATACCAAATAGGCTAACGTTTGGAGGAGATGCGATGAAAACTCCAATAGTCAAAAGGAGAAGAGTTAGTCGAACCCACCTCGGGTCAATCACCATTTATCAAAAAAAGAGGAATCGATTCTAGAAAGTTGCAGGCTCCTATCCTTGAGGGTGTTCAACGGTAATGTGGAATCCAAAGGAGCACATTACAACTTTCTGTGCCTAGATGTCATTACATGGTACCTCGGACACCCTAATATGTCACACTTTCCTAACCACATTAAAAGTCCCAACACGAGAATTGTACGCTCGCCTAAAACCACTCTCCATCTGCTCTTTTGTCCAACTAATGAGGGAGTTTAGCCTTCACTTCCTTAAGAATGTATGCCTTTAGCCTTCAACGACAATAATTCTCGGACTTAAGCAAGGGGAGTAAGAAACATTTGTAGACTTCGTCGCTTAGTTTATGAATGAGATCCGAGGCATAATAGATGCTCATCCATCATATAACATAGATATTTATGATGGGGTTCAAGCGCTCTCTTCTCTTTTGGTCATTGATAGAAAAACCATCGATGATTATATCTAGGATACTTCAAATTGCCAATCAATATATTATCATTGAGATAATAGTCTTGGACAAATGAGAGAAGTCATGTAAGAGGCTGAAGTAGGGGCAACCACAATCAACCCCATCCATAAGGTTGCTTCACGAAGGAGAAATAAATGACTCAAGCTATATCACTCGAGATCTGAGCTAACCCCCTAAATATGTCTAGAACTAAAATTTTCCTCCAGAGAAAAAGCTTTTATATGATCGTCACCCAATGAAGACCCCATTGATGAAAAAAGACAAGTCCAAGTATTGCCTATTTTACTGATATTACCCATGATACTAAAGATTGTTATAACTTAAAGGTGCAAGTTAAAGAACTCATATGTCGAGAACACTTAGGATGATTCATTCAAAAGCACCGAAATTTCTCACCTCGATCTCAAGGGCTAGTAAAAAAATAGATTGATGTTATCATTAATGGACTTGCCTTAAGGGGAGATAGCTCCTCGGCCTGTAAGGTTATGTTCGAGCTATCATTGAAAAGTGCTCGAGGATGGAGGGTGATCAAAAATAATTTTGAAGAAGAAACATAGTACCTCAATCCGAATTATGATGATTCCTTAGTGGCCTTTGCGAGGATGATCAATACATGGGTGATAATTAATATCATTTATTTTGTTTCTTTTCAAAAACTTGACTACCAACTAACGATCTTACTTTAATGACTTTTTTACCGATGAGATTAATCAGTGACTCCATCTTGACTCTTGGGATTATAAATCTATATGTTACATTCTGAACCGTACTCCAAAATAATATTAACTAAATTCATGGTGGTTAATATCCCCTTGACGTACTATACGATCATAGGCTGACCTACACTGAACAAATTGAGGGTGATGATATTGACTTACTAAATGACGATGAAGGTCCTAATGAGGGCTAGCATCAAAGAGCTGAGAAGTAACCCAAAAAACTCATGTTAGTGCTACTTGACGATGGTCTCCCTATTGAAAGAAAGTCCAACCCGAGACACTACTTATGGACTCTGAGACTTGATCAAGTCCCCCCCTATATCTTAAGCTGGTGGAGCCAATAATCGAGGCCCCCCCTAGCAAAGCTCAACTCAACGAAACTATCAAGATAGAAGCGACCCTTCTTGAGGAGAGACAGGTGCAGCTTGTCAACTTCCTCTAAGAGAATTTTGAAGTGCTTATATGGTCGCCAAAAGATATATTAGGAATCAACCCAACATAGCTCAATATCACTTGAGCATTCCCCCGAGGCATGACTAGTGAAGCAAATGCTTTGTAAATTTGCTCTTAACTATCAACTAACAATTAGTGAGAAAGTAGACAAGTTATTAGATGTAGGATTTATTATCGAGGTGCAGTACCTCTAATGGCTCAATAATGTTATACTCACGTAAAAAGTCTAGTGAAAATTAAAGGATATGTGTTAACTATACCGATCTCAATAAAGTATGCTCAAATGACAACTACCCTCTTTCTCGAATTGATCAATTAATTAATGCTATCTTGGGTTATGAGTTTCTCATCTTTATGGATACATTCTCATGATATAACTAAATCAAAATGGTGTTATATGATTTTAAGTATACTTCCTTCACGATGGAATATATTACTATTGAGTTATGTCATTCGGGTTAAAAAATGCAAGGGTAACATATCAAAGAATAGTGAACAAAATGTTTAAGTATTAAATTAGGAAAAATATTGAAGGTTACAAAGATGACATGATAATTAAGAGTAAGACGATTGACTCGCACCTATCAGATTTGGCTGAGACATTTAAGTTTTAAAAATATTTAATATGCATCTCAATCTAACCAAATGCACATTCGAAATTAACTCGGGTAAATTCATCAGGTTTATCATGCATCAAAGAGAAATAAATACAAGCCTTAAAAATGTACGAGCCATATTAGTGATGTACCCACTTTGATCGGTAAGAGAGGCTCAACAATTAACAGGTTGGTTAACAATGCTCAATCAATTTTTATGTTAATCCGATGATATGTGTGTACTTTTATTTCGAGCATTGAAAAATTCAAAAAGGTTCATGTAGATCGATAAATGCTAAAATGCTTTTTGAGAAGTTAAAAGGATCATCTCCGCAAGCTATCATAGCTTACTTTCTCTATCTCATCGCAAAATATTATTCCCCTCCATTATCTCTCCATGATATAAAAACTAGCTTTTAGTATAATTATCATGAGCACAATCTCTTCCAACTCTCTGTATAAGACCTCAAGAGATTATTATTTTTACCTCAAAGGATCTTTGAATAATCTTATACATAGAGGTTAGGATAATATCGAAATGTTCACTTCGTCGATGATATGTTCTCGTAACATAATTAATCCGACGGTCCAAGAATTTCATCGAACCACCGTTAAAAGACCAGTCTCGGAAGATACGTGGGAAGTCATTACATTTAGAACTTACCGGCCCGCTACTGCCATCTGTCGGTGTCATCGTCTCAAGAAGCGTGTTTTGATAACTATGAATAAATGGGTACAAATTATTGGATTAATCTTCTTTAAAAGGATACAAGTCACCAAAGATTGCAATCGCCATCAGCTGCTTCCCTTCCCCTTGCTCTTCGTTGATCGTGAGCTCTGTCGAGGACGCTAGGGTTTCGATCCTACTCACTCTTTCACAGGGAAGATGGAATCCAGATCCGATCCTTCGGCTCTGGCTCGCGGCCGGCTCGCCGTTCTCTCCGCCCACCTCGCCGCAAACCGATCTTTCGGCGGTTTCTCGTCGGTCTTGGAGAGATCACCCACCCTCTCTCAAGAGGACGCGAGGCCGCCGGGGAACCTCGGGGGTTCGTTGACCGTGATCGATGAGAGAACCGGGAAGAAGTACGCGCTCCCGGTCTCGACCGAAGGAACTGTCAAGGCCACCGATCTCAAAAAGGTACATGATTTCTCTCTTTTTGATTTCGATTTCGTTGATCCCTTTGCTCAATTTTATTTTGTCTGCATAATCCTTGTATTATATGCCAGTTTTTAAAATTGAGTTGCTGTTATGCAAGTTGATTTTGCTCCGAAGTATTGTTACTATCTAATTGGGGATTGAAGTCTATTGTTGCTTGTAATTTCTGGATGTGAAAGAGTTCAATGTAGTGCGATCGACGGAAAGTTTTTCTTTTTCAGCTAGAATCAGTTTAGACTACCGTCGACGATTTTGCTATGCTTATAGCTTTTATTGTCGTTTTTTATTTTTATTATTAAAAAACCTTTTAATTTATTCTATTTGTTTGGTGAGTTTGTTTGTCTAATAATCTTGTAAAGGCTAGTTTACTGGTAACTTGGGCTTTTTGTAGATTACTGCTGGCAAAAATGACAAGGGACTCAAAATTTATGATCCGGGTTACCTTAATACCGCTCCAGTCCGTTCCTCCATCTGTTTTATTGATGGGGATGAAGGGATACTTCGTTACAGAGGGTACCCAATTGAGGAGCTAGCTGAAAACAGCACGTTTCTTGAGGTGGCCTATCTTCTAAGTAAGTCTCCTATGTGATGAACTTATTTGTTCTGATGTTTGATTAATTTCCCGAGTCTCTGTCACTAATCCAATTGTTTTTCAGTGTACGGGAATTTACCTACTGAAAGTCAACTGGCAGACTGGGAGTTTGCAATATCTCAGCATTCTGCTGTTCCGCAGGGTGTCCTGGTTAGTCTTCATTATCGATGTTATTCCAATTGGTTTTTGACTGAATTCGACAAAGTCAACATTCTGCTATTTATAATTATAGTTATAAGTCTAGAATCAAGTTTTTAGAAGTCAAAGTCTTGGCAGCACTTGCGAGGTTGTTTCTTAATGACTTGGGTGCAAGGGTTCAAGTAATAAATAATTATTCTTTTGTATACAAGGGGTAAGGTTGATTATTTCGACCTTCACCCTATCTATATATATGCAAGAACCATGTGAAATATGCAACCTCTTTTATTGTAGAGATAAATCTATTATGTGATTAATTGTACTGTAGTATACAGTTGTTCTGACACATTATACTTCTGTCTTATTTTTGTAGGATATCATACAAGCAATGCCACATGATGCTCATCCAATGGGTGTACTTGTCAGTGCATTGAGTACCCTTTCTGTATTCCATCCAGACGCAAATCCTGCACTTAGAGTAAGTCTATTATAAAGATATCAAGTCTATAAAGATACATCAAGAAATGTCAATCTGTTCTTGCTTACATGTACGTGGTTCTAACCAACAATTTGAACTTTATAGATGCCCTTTTTTTTCCACACAGTTCATTCTGAATCTTGAGTTGAATATAGTTTGTGGAAATGAGTTATGTATTGTTATCCAAATTTACATCTTAATGTTTGTCTTACCTTGAGTTAAATATAATTCTTGGACATGCATGATCTATTGTCATCTGAAGTGCATAATTCAATGTTTCTTGCAGTTAAGACAAATAACTGCATATATTTAGATATCTCTCTCTTATATAGGGTCAAGATCTTTATCACTCGAAGCAAGTTAGAGACAAGCAAATTGTGCGAGTACTTGGAAAGGTATGTCCTAATCTGTTCTTTTTTTTTTTTCCATTTCGAAGGGCATTTCGTTACTGAAATGCGCTGTTCATCCGATATGTAAAAGCATGGTGATTAAATACTATCAACTTTGGTAGCATGTCTCTTTTATGTTTAGGAAGCTTATGTTCATACAGTTATAATCTCTTTGTTCTTGCTACAGAACATCTATAACTTCATGATAAATCTTTCCTTGTCCACTAAATGGTTAATTTTGCATCTCTAGGTACCAACAATTGCAGCTGCAGCCTATTTACGGTTAGCAGGAAGGCCTCCCGTCCTTCCTTCCAGCAACCTGTCATATTCAGAGAATTTCTTATATATGCTGGACTCTTTGTAAGTTTAGTTTCATGTTTCTTACATTCTATTTTCAGGGGTCACTTTATCTGCAGTTTTCCTTTACTTTAGATGAAGACTAAGTACATAACTTCAGTTATTGCTCAAGTCGGATAAAAGCAACTTCATTTTCCATGTAATCCTTAACTATCCTAGCTAATAACATTTCTGTTATATTGCAGGGGCAACCGGTCATATACACCTAACCCTCGACTTGCTAGGGTTCTCGACATTCTTTTCATACTGCATGCAGAACATGAAATGAATTGCTCCACGGCCGCTGCTAGGCATCTTGCTTCAAGGCACATAACTTGCTTTAAACTCTAAAATTTGAGGTATTTGCTTCTCAAGTTTGTTGCTTTGTTTGCAGCGGTGTTGATGTTTTTACTGCTCTTGCTGGAGCTGTTGGCGCTCTGTATGGTCCTCTCCATGGTGGGGCAAATGAGGTACAAAATTAGTTCTGAAGTATTGTTATCTATATATATGTGCTCAACAATTTTGTATATCATATAATGCTAGAACATTTAAGCTCAGGAATTTCATTGACCCAATCGAGTTGCAATATTCTTCATTACCCTAGATTTCTGCAATCTAATGGATTTGGAATTTTGAGATTTAAATAGAAGCATCTGGAAAGTTATGCTCCATTTATCTTGTACTTGGCAGGCTGTCCTTAAAATGCTGAATGAAATTGGACAAGTTGAGAATATTCCTGAGTTCATTGAAGGTGTGAAGAACAGGTAAGACATGTTATCATATGTTTTGTTAGTATAAACACTTGCTAGAGTAACAGACAGTTCCATTGAGTGATACAATAATATTCAATTTAATTTGCTGGAAATTTACAGAAAGCGGAAGCTGTCAGGTTTTGGACATCGTGTCTACAAAAACTATGATCCTCGTGCTAAGGTCATCCGCAAGTTGGCTGAGGAAGTTTTCTCGATTGTTGGGCGGGATCCTTTGATTGAGGTTTTGTTATTTGTTCCTTTTTATTACTTCTAAGAACATCGATTGTTTTCTTTCTCAGAAATCAGCGACTTAATTTTGTGATTCTGTTCTGGGAGTAGTTCTGACATGGTTAAAAGTAATTCCTGCACAGACATCATGGCCTTTCTTGTAGGGTTTATTGAATTATGAGAATTGGCTAAGCACAAACTTCTGTAACCTAAAATATATTCTCTTTCTATGGCTCGTTAAGTTTCATGAACATGAGACCTAAAGGAAGTTATGTTTGTATTAGATCAGATGCTGACCTTTTAGTTGGTAACACAATTTACTTATATTAGTAATAAAAACAGATTATCCAGCATGGAGATGTTAGAAGGTATATTATGCATGAAATTTACCTTGAACCTTCTGGTTTTCGTGACTCCTGATTGGTTTTTCCCTCTTGATAGTCTATGCAGAAGAACTTGTTAAGTATGTCTCAATGGCAAAACTTATTGTTGCTTTTTTGTGTATTAGTTGTGAATTTTAAAGTGTTTGTGTGTTCACAGGTGGCTGTGGCACTGGAGAAAGCTGCTCTATCTGATGATTATTTTATCAAGAGGAAGCTTTATCCAAATGTTGATTTTTATTCAGGCTTAATCTATAGGTATGCCAAGACATCCATTGAAGTTTCCTTATAGCATTTTGCACAAAAAAATAACTAGATGCAATTTTCTTTTTCAGGGCAGTGGGATTTCCGACAGAGTTCTTTCCTGTTCTGTTTGCAATCCCTCGTATGGCTGGTTACCTAGCACACTGGCGGGAATCACTTGATGATCCTGATACAAAGATTATGAGACCTCAACAGGTTATAAAATACAAACAAAGCCTTAAATCTATTGTTTATTGCCATAGCAATCCCAACTTTTTTACTGTTTTTGAGAGCATTGTTCTAAAGAAATGAAATTTTAGATGTTCACATGAGCCATCTTTCAGGGCCATTATATTAGTGCATGATCGGAGTATTTCTGTGATCGTGGTAGGGAGCACTGTCAGTGATTATAACAGAGCTAACTTTTTGTAACGAGTGCACACACTTATATAGTTACTATATTCAACACAGTACACAAGCAAGGTTGGGTCATTAAATTTTTGCTTTAGTCAAAACAATTTTTCTTATTGAGGTTGAAATATCCTAATATATTTTGTCATCAAGAAACAAAATTGTTAAGACCATTGTTTATATATGAAAATTCCAGCACCAAAAGACCATTGTTTAGTCATCTTTATGGGGTGTTTATAATATTATCTTAGCCAGTTATTTACTCTGTTGTCTACTTGTATGTTTGTTCATGTCTAGTTTCTAAATTCCACCTGCTTGAACTTGGTGTCATATAAAATGTGTTCCGTCGACATATGGCATTTGGACCCGTGTTGGATCATATGGTCCGATGCTGATCAGTATTTAATTTTCTGAATATATTTTTTATTAATATTAGATCGCATGACACATTAGGTATGGTACCAGTTCGATATGTAGCCGTAACTGATACCAAACTGAAATCCAAAACGTTGATTTGCTTTACTTTGGATTATGCAAGAGTTGATAGATTCTTTAGTTTATTGTTTGGCAAACCTCTTTTTTTCCCATCACTTATAGAGTTAAAAACAGCTTCTCCAGAAGCTGTTTGTGTTACGATAGGATGACATTCATCACTGCAATAATTTATTCTTCCTCTATTTGATCTTCTAGGTTTACACCGGTGAATGGTTTCGTCATTATACTCCGGTCAGAGAGCGGATGGTATCAGAAACGACTGACAAGCTTGGTCAGGTGGGAGTTTCAAATGCAAGCAGGAGACGGCTCGCGGGTTCCCAAGTGTAAATCCTGGTTTTTCTAATAAATCAGACTAGTACTTGTGCGTGGAACAATAAGCATAGTAATGTGTTGGTGACAGAAGCATGCACCCGGAGATCACATGCATTTTCCACTGGGGTGGTAAGAAACCAATAAAATACTGTTGAGCATCATGAACATGAACCATACGATGATGCCTTTTTGAGATGAATAAAAAATATTGCATCATTTCCTTCTTGTAAATTGGTACATGTTAATGTTCGTTTTAGCATCTGCTTCCATTGCTATCGACCTGCAGTGTTTTGTGTCATGCCATGTCAATACGAAATCTGCAAGCACTTGCTGCGGTGATACGTTCAATGTTCTTCTGTAAGTACTTGCTGATTTGTTCTTTTGTAAGGAGAACATCATCTCCAAAACATGTAGTTATGTGGATCACGCCTTCATCCACGTCATGCAGTTGTACGTCTAAGGACCAATCTCTTTATCTGTCTTCTCTTTTATCTATATATATTTATATTAGGGGAGCGTGACGACTATAAAAAGATAAAAATAGGTAAAAAAAGTAGGTATTGACACAGAATTAAAAAAAAAAAAGAATAAGGTAGAAAAGGAAAAGAAAGAAAGGAAACGAGACAGACAAAGATAAGGATAACACAAAGAAATTGTTCTCAATCATCTAGGTTTTGAACAAGAGATTGAGTTTGTATATTTATTATTATTATATTTTGATGTTCTATTTGATTATGATTCAATTTAATTCTGTTACGTGTTATAACTTGTTAGTATTTATTTATATATAAAAATTTATTTATCTTTATATCCCATTATATATGATCGTGATTCATTGAGTCTAAATGACAGAAGGAAAAAAAATCAATCCATGCAGTCCGCCCAAAAGGGTAAGATTTTATCAGCCCTGTTATATCATATGGGGGTTGATGGCACATCCTTTTCGATAGTTTCACTTCACTTGTCCCGTATCTTTGGATTATTGTACTACTGCAGGTGCGCTTGGATGCCAGTCACTCGATAGAGTTATGATCGCAACACCTGCTGTTGCCGTTCTGCTTCGTTCTCTCCATGATTCAATGGAGAACTTTGAATCTTTCAATGGCGAACTTTTCTCTGCAGACTACATGATTCTGGTTCATATCTTTCAATTGTCTCTTTCGTTTTCCAAGCCTGCGTGCGAAATCCATGCATTCTTCCTTCAAGATTGTGGCATTTTTATAGTTCATATTTGGGCTCTCTCTTGCCAGCCGACGTCATAAACAAATCAAGTGGACGAATCCATCTTCCTAGAATTTCCACAGACATTGCTATGGTTTCATATCCCCATGATTCCCAACCGCACGAACCAAGGTTAATTACATCTTCTGCAAAACCATCTCTCGCAATATCTTAAGCTTTCAATTGACTTGTGGCAGTGGATCACCCTTGCTTGACCAACGTGACAGCGTTCTTTACACGCTAAGGGGGTTTCCATCCACACGGGGGATCGATTAATTATCTCTCGAGCCCCACTGAGAGGACAACCTTCAACTTGCGGTGGATTGCTGAGACATCGCTCGGTTGTTTCCATGAATGAAGACGAGATTAAGTACAACTTGCAAGATGATGATGCAGTCTCCATGGATGCCAACGAGGGATACCGATGCCACAAGTGTTCTAATGGACGCTTGATGTCACAGCTACGGCCCTGATCGACACATCACACCTATGAACTGATTGACGTTTTGGTTGGTGTTGTTAGATAGCATGATATGATTCCTCTAGGGGGATGGATGAGGTTCTATATTAAATAGGTAGCTGTTGGCGACTGGTTTGATGGGTTCCTTCACAATGTAGCTTCTTTTCTGATCAAGAACACTATGGTTCTACGTGAAATAATGTAAGTCTGAGAGGCTTTCGTTCAGACTCCGATTGGTAGGTATCTCAAGATCAGGATTAACTGTCGTATGCAGGGAGATGTCTCGTTGATGTGGACAAATCCTTTCGTTTTCTGGCGCATATTTCCACCCCAATTCCTCATCCCATGAAGCTCAACTTTGACAGACATCACCCAGTCTTCTCTCCCCTTTTTTCCCAGACGTCAGAGCAAGCATCTGCAGTCTTCCTTTACGGGCGGCTTTGACTCCTAAACTTTGTCTTTGGTTGACCAAACCGACCCAACCACTACAAGAAGAACAGTAGTAGAGAAGGAAGTAAGGGGAAAAGGTAAAAGAGGCACAGCGAGAGGGACTGTTTTGGACGGAAACACGCGAAACACTTCTCCCTTAAATTGGGGAAGTCGTCCACGCTCAAACAACTCCAGAGTGTGTCTTCGGAAGCACTAGCTATAAGATTTGGTGCAAGGCATGAGAAGTAATGAGGTGGGACTTCCTTGCAAGGAAGGACTAGCCACTGTTCCTTTGCACTACCCCTGCTCTCTGAACACACTCTCTCTGCTCTGAAACAACTGCTCGACATCATTGTTCCTGCTGCTTGGAACATGTCAGGTGTTGTGTCTGTGGCTTGTTATATGAATGTGCGAATTTTGGTGCATTAATTTCCCAAGTTTCTATTGCTTTAAATGAGAAATGAGAGATGAGAGGCGAAAGTAATATGCCAAATGAGCTTTCAATGTAGGGGGACCAGATGGAACCCGAACGTGAAGACTGGGCAAAACGTCGGCAGAGCTCTTGTAAGGTGGTGTTGTCCCAGACAAGGAGGACTCTTGAGAACGAACTGTTGACGGGGGCGGTGGGGGAGGGAAGATGCGAGGAAAGAAGGCCGGCGGCATGTCTGAGACCTTTATCTTGCACTGAGGTTTACCAACCAAAGATGCAACCAGGGCTGTGTGCGACAAAAGTCCATGCCATGGTACGCACATGAGAAGGAAACATGTGTCACAGACTTGCATTAATTTTAGGCCAATCAGCTTTCCGCCATCCGTCTCTGTCTCTCTCATTCTTGTCCACCACCTTCCAATATATGGTCACCCACACCCCCGCTCTGCCCTTAGCACAGGTATCCACGTATGTTCCCGATGGAGTACTCGCACAACAAAGGAGTCGCACTTTTCTTCATCCTCTTCATCTCCTTTGCGCCATCTCTACGTGCCAGGAAGCTCCTCGGCGAGGCGGAGGAGACGGTTAGACCCATGGAAGCTGGTCTAGTGTTGAACATCCTCCCGAGGGGGAGCACGCCTCCGTCTGCTCCCAGCCAAGGTGGTAATGGCGCGGGTACCGCACGAATCAACACCGAGAGGGTGCTGGGGTCGGTCCCCAGCCCGGGGATCGGCCATTAATAGCTTCTCCGCTCGATCATTAGTTCTTGTTAGGAAGTTTTGGAGGTCAGGTCCATATACTACGTTTTTTCATTGTTCAAGCTGCCTTTCCTTTCTCTTCTTTGGTTCCATAGTTGGATTGATTTGGTATGTCCTGCGCGACGCATAAGGGAGACGAGATGATGTGCACGCGAGGATCAAACTCGATGGAGGGAGTCCATCGCTACTGTTCACTCGTGTCCCCTCCATGAACTACGTGACAAACCGGTAGTGTCCTGTGTCAATCGAAAGCGCGTCAGTCGTATTGTACATGATGAGATATACTGTCAAGTTCGTCCCCTTTTTTTTTTCTGTGCCCTCTCTTTGTGATGATCTGTAGATGAAATTAAAAGAAGAGAAGCATGCATACAAACATACGTATATTTCTACGTGTGTATATATACACACACACACACACGCCATCCGCTGCGTTGCATGATTGATATATGCGTTCTCGATGGACGGAAGCCCGTACGCCCGAGAGCGGTGGAATCACGGTGTGTAAAGGAACCGCGTTGACTTCGACTGCCGTTTCCATATCTCAAGCTTTTGATTGATTTGATCCATCGATTGGATTGCAGCAGGTTTGTAGCGATCACTTGCGAGTACGGCCATAGGAGATCCGAATTTGTCAAAGATCCGAATTATATGCATTAATCAAATGTAACATTTAAACTCCTCTTCTCACTAAACTCATAATTTATGCATGTGATAATTCCATTCCTATTCTGGATTATATGAGCAAACCGTAAGACCACCACTAGATTTCCTACTGCTAAATATAGTAGTTAGAAGTTTAGTGGGTTAATTAATCCTAACCATCCTGCTCTGTCCTTACGAGAATGGGTTCTAATACTGTGTTTGCTACTTCAATATTAAAAAAAAAGGATTAGAAATACCCAATCAATTCAGACCAATAAAAATAAAAATTCACTGTTGAAGAGAAAAAACAATAATTTCAATCGACTTTAATTACTATATTTATGTTTGTATGGGTATTAAACTTGCATCAAAGCTACAAAATGTACATGCGTCACTGAGCACGACACCTACGCGAAAAAGAAGGTTGAAAAAGATGACAAGACAATCGAAGAATGGTGTGCTAACAAGCAAGCTTATCGGTTGTGGAAACAATGTATAAAAATTCAAAAGGTGCCTACTCGCTCAAACGTGATTGATGTTGATAGCATCTTTCTTGTATCCACAAGCTCCGTTGTCACTGCAAGAAAACGTGTGTGCACAGAATTAACCCTCCCAGAACGGTGACAAGGAATTTATTGTGCTTTTGGCTGTTCTTTTTCTCCTTCTTTTCAGTAAAGAGCTTATCGATGTGTTGAAAAGGCACACGTTCATGTTTGGGGACGCGAAATTAAAAGCACATGAGACATGTGATGGTGCTAAGAAGCTTGAAGCTGGTCATATCTGCACTCGGGTCTCGTGACACGCGGCGATCCACCAAAATGCAGGCTGGCCGAGTCCACAATGTTGGCCGCATTGAATACGGAAGCCCTGTCGCCGAACGTAATGCACGCCCAAATGTCACCCCAAGAAACAAAGGAGGAGATGCTGCAAGTCAAGTTCTCGAGCACCGGCTTCGTCGACCAAGACGAGGACACGGGGAGCGTAAAGCATGCGAATTCTGCAGTCAAACGCGCCGACCACGCTTCGCTTCGATCACAACCCTTTGTCTACCTCTCCCTAACTCGCACACGTTTCCCACTCCCTGCGTGCAAGGTCTGTGTCGGACTCGTGTAAGTTGGTCGGCGTTCCCTTTTCCTGGCAGGTTCGTGGGTGACTAAGGATGCAAGAGAATTCCAAGGGGATGCAGTTATCTTTGTGCTTTACGAGCAAGTAAGTATATTGGCACAGAATCGGGAAGGTATTCTACGTCGGATCGAGCATGAGAGAAGAATGGAGCAGTGATGTGGTTTGAGTCAACGTGGATGACGTTGGTCGGACCAGAAGTCAAATCCTTTGATGAGAATTAATTATAGTTAGTCATTCTTTAGAGAACACCATCCTGATTTGATTTAATTAACCTCATATTGATAGATTTGATGAGTATATGAGTCAAAGTTCTTCATCATCTCATGAGTACTTTTTGGGTACATTCTATATAGTTTTGGGCTTATTTGTTCCTTACCTTAGCAAATTTCTTTTTATTTTTTGAATAAATAAGTAGAAATCGGAAAATATGGAGATCATGAGTGATGGAAAAAGTGTGCCTCAGAAAAAAAACATGTTAGTGAAAAATCATGCGGTTGATACGATAATAAGATGTCGTATAATTCAGCCTCGTCATCATTTCAGGTAGCAGTCGATCATCAATCACGATCCATCTCAAAAGCCTTGTTTGTGATACTCACTGTGCTATGCGTAGTGCTTTGTGCACCATAAAGCAAAAGAGGAAAACAAAGCTTAGTTTGTCTTTGTTTCTTTCTTTGTTATCCCCTCGAATGAACTGTCTATTGCAGCGGTGGGGATTTCCCAAAACTTCAAGCTATCAATACATATAACTGCGAACTTACATATGAACTAGCTGCTATCATAGGAGGCTATATACTTCTCTTAGCGAGGTGTTCTTGGAATCATTATAATTGATCTGCTCCCTCTGATAAAGCACAGCTTTTATGCATGAGATCAAATGATACATGCTTTAGAAGATAATTCTCTTATGTATGTGTAAATAAGGAAATCATGAATCAGATGAGTCCTCCATTGGTCGTATGATGGCCATGGCAATAGAGTTTGTGTGTGGTTGTTCAACAAAGGCAACAATTGTTGTCGCGCACATTTATCCTCGCCTCGTTGGACTTTTCTCTATCATCTTCACGCTTTACATCTTAAGACCTAAATAAATGAAATGGATGATTCGATAGAAAAGGCCATGTGAATGTTCTTAAATCTCATGAGATTTAAAATAGAATTATGGTTGTCTTCTTCGTATTCGAGTTTGGGTAATGGATGATTGGATTCCTAAAAGATCTTCACGAGGAAAGTGGCCACAGTCATCTCATCGATCTATATGGTATCCATTTTGTTCTTCCGAGGATCCAAATTCAACTGCTTTAGAACAAATGTACCGACGAAAAATCTTTTCATCGGGTAAGTAATTTGCTCATAGTTTCATCGGCTATGATCTCGATCAAAAGACATGCTGCAGGAGAACAAATAGCACCTGATCTACGGTGAATTCCAGGCTACTATAGACGCGATTAAAGCAATGACGAAACATGTATTGATTGCAAAACCCAATGTGTACACGGAACCACAAATCTCTCCGCCAAGAAAAAATCACCATGGCGAGGAAGAAGACAAGTATTCGACAGCCGCATTAATACAGGATAGCTAAAACCTTACATTAACTGGAAAATAATCGAAAATTATTCTGTCGGCATATATATATATCTGTCTGTCGCTCTCTTCAGACGCGATCATGGCCGGAGCGCAGGCGCAGCAGATGCCGAGTGGAGCGCGGGTCGCTGTGTCCTCTGTTGCTGGGACCGGAAGGAGGGATGCGCTTGCTCACGAGCACACGGAAGGCCTTCGACTCCTTGGTGGCTAATGTTGAGCTCGTTGCGGCCTCGAGAGCTTCTTCGAGGGATACCGACGGCGGGTGTGGCCTTGCTGAGGACGCCCCGATGGTAACGAGGAGGAGAAGGGCCAACACCAGTTTGGTGGAGAATGCCAGAGGGTGGACAGGTTTGGTAGCCATGTCATGGGTGGTGGTAGCACCCTACAGGGACTTGAAACCATTTGCAGGCGGTGATGGGCTTGTAGGTGGAGGAGATTTAAATACGAGGAGGGAGATTGACTTTGATAAGTTAAGGACAAGATTTTGAGTGTATTCACTTGACAGTCCCAACCACTATGTTCGATGGGTCTTCTTGTGGTAGATTAATTGCTAATGTGGGATACTAAGAATCTTTATGATCTGCGAGCAATTCTAAACTGGTTTAATCATACACATACATCCGAATTCGAGGTCAGCATGACACAGATCCACTTCGCCAAACCTGCATTGATTACCATACGAAAGGAATTTACGGAACTGGCATGGCGACGAAAAACTCTGATCTGTCATGGGCATTTCATTTGGGACAGCGTCGACTGGAGAAGTGGTCAAGTGGGCATTCGTGATGTTGATCTGATGCACCAACCCACTCAAAAAGGTGGGCTTCACCCATGGAATATTGACTTTGGAGAAAGATCGCCGTGTGTCCAAGAACAGGCGATCAATCCCGGTCATTTCGTTCAGGGCCTCTTCTTCTTCTTCGTCTTCTTCTTCTTCTTCTTCTTCTTCGAGGAAGACATGGTTTTTCTTGTTCTGACTGAGAGCTGCAACTCTGTGATCTTGTGCTGCTACAGAGCGGGGTTGTGTTGGATAAAGGAATCATTGTTTCTCACGCATGTTCTCGATCAACGCGGGACCAGATCTCTATCCTTGGAAAGGAAGACGGAGAGAGAATAAAGGGAATAAAGTTGTTCTGTCATCCATCGACATGGACCGACGGATGCACAAGTCTCCGCGGCTGACGCAGCGGCTCGCATCTCACCATACTGTTCCGCCAACGACGTCGACGCCGACGCCGACTCCCCATGCTTTACTCCTGCAAGATAACCCGTCCTCCATCAATCGCCCATCCAAACAACTGGTCCACATCATCACTACTCACACATATCTGACTCTCAGATCTTCCACTACAAAACAAGTGGTGAAGGAGCCGAGAAATCACAAGCTGCTCAGCTCATGGCGTTTGCAGGGGTCCAACGTAGAGACACTGTCAAATAAGGCGGTGTGCCGAAACCACTGAACTTATCTACTGCGAGATCATGATAAGAACATTGTTGTTGCGTGGAAGAATCCAAAACTCACCGAACTTTTGTGGACAAAGACCGAGCTCCGAAAACTACGTCCTCAAAGTTGCATGGAATAATGGAGTGCATGGTGTGATAGCTCTGCTCGACCGCTGCACATTTTGGATGAGACCAATTGACTTCTGATACAACATTCCAGAGGAGTAGCGCGCATAAACAAAGGTCTTCACGTTGACTTATGTATACGTTTCCGATCTTATCTTTGCTATAAGCGATCTTAATTCGTCTTCCTTGATGCAAGTTAATTAAACCAAGTTTACATGGCTGTTCTTTCGTCATCCTCCAGCAGCAAGTTAATGGAGTTCTTTCTCCTTTCTTTGTCTTTTTTGCTTCCATCTTCTTTTTAAAGTTGGTGTCACAGATAAAGGAGATCGGAATACTTTCTTATCACTTGCAATTGATGGAATGGAAAGCCCACTTTTTGTACAGTTGAAGAGGGGCCTCATCACGGGACAGAAATCCACATTGGAAGGTGAGAAGCTAAAGCTAAACCTGCATATACATACATAATAGGAAGCTTACTATTCAGATCACCTTTTTACTATTATCCATTGTTTTCTTTTCTTTTCTTTTTTTCCTTCTTCCCCACAACCCTTCGCTATGCTAGCGTTCTTTGCTAGCGTTCTTATCACGGACTATACCGACACTTGCTATCAACGTTGTTCATCGATACCGCTTGATATCATCTTTCAACAAAAAGAAGAAGAGGAGGAGAAGAAGAAAAAATATATATCTATTTTAAAAAATTATAAATATTAAAAAAATAAAATTATAAATAGTAATATCGTTAAATATTCTCATAAGAAAAATCCTAATTGTTGAGAATAGGTTTGATAACTGTATTCCATTTACATTAATTGAACTCAATTTGCTTAGATCAATTTTGATATTTTTCGACTTTCTAAGGTTTTATTTCAAGTTCTATATATTATTTAGTTACTTATGTTTCTAAAAGTCAATTAATGACACTTGAGCCAATCTGATAATATTGTGGTTGCACCCACTCGAGTTGATGATTAATCATTGACGGCAATATAAATCTATCTCTACATGATCTTACTCGAGTTTTACATCGTGTACTGCTGCTGGTATTACTACCACTAACTCACATCAGGATGACGATTGTCCATTTCATCACAGTGATCCAATAAAAGTAAATACAAACAAAACCTGCAGCACGTACGAAAATATTCTTCGACGTAGCGCAGTTACATTCCCTTCGTAGTTATTCTTCATTGCAAGCGGGTTGGGCTGGTCCATATTGAGGGTTGGTCCAATTTCCTGTTTCCAACCCGGTTTAAGTGGCTTCCTGGCTAAACTCGTTCCACGCCTTGATAGTTCATGACAACTGACTTTAATGATAATTAAGCTACTACCACAGTTGGTAATTATACTTACAATCCATAATTCTAAACATAACAGAAGCTAATGGGGTGGTGGTTCAGTCAACCTAAGTGGCATTTTTGCTGACGAGGGCCACTGTGTGCGGAATTAACCGACCGTTGTGCTCATTGTTGAGAGTATTCGGCTACGCGGCTACAATTCCAACCACATCTAACTGCATGTGAGCTGAATTAACTGCCACACCTCTCTTCCTCGCTCCCTTTTTCTGGTCTCTGTAACGGCAGTAACCGAAGGAAGTCATAAAACCGAACAACACGACTCCATTTCTTCCTCAGTTCACTTCGTCCTGTTTCTTTTATGCTTTCTTGGGTCGGTTGGGGAGCACAGTCTCGGCCGTGGCGGTGAGAGCAACGACTTCCGAGAAATCTCTTGCGTTTCCAAGCAAAAATTCGTCGTCTTCGATCGAGGTTTGATGATCCCTTCCCCCCATGAATGTTCGTCTCCGGATTCTTTCTTTGATCGGAAGCTTCTTGGCTTCTCATCTTTGGATTCTTTTTAGTTCGATCGAGTCGTTCTTGATCGATGGAAGCTGTTGAGTTGGAATTCTCATTAGATATAGCCTTAACTTATATTTCTATTGTGGAGTTGGAATTCTCATGGCTCCGCTGATGGACTGAGTCTTTAGTGTTTGAATGATGCGTGCGCGCGATAGAATGCGATGGACATGGAGGAAAGAATTCGATGAAAGCGTAGGCTTAGGAGTAGTTTCCATGCCACTCCTGACGTAGAGATCTAATTTTCCTTGCTGCGTGACAGGAACGAAGCTGCCATCGGCAATGGGGAACGAGCAATCGAGGGCGGCACCATCGCTGATGGCGGCGATGGCGAAGCTGGGCGAGCAGGAACGACGGTTTAACACCGCCACGGACTCCGAGTCGGGTTCGGTGCAACGGCCGAAAGCGCGGCTGATCATGGTGATGAACCAACTTCCAGTCTGCGCCACCAAGGACCCCTCGGCCCCCGGGGGGTGGATCTTTAACGAGGACGAGGACTCTCCCATCGCCCACCTCACCGAGAGCTCACCGGCCGGCGCAGAACTCGTCTTGGTAGGCACCCTCCCTTGCGCCACCGATCTTCCTCAGAAGCTATGTACCAACCTCACCACCCAGGGCCTCCGCCTCCATGACTTCCTCTTCTTTCCTGTCTTCATCCCGTCACAAACAGAGTCTATGGTCTCCTGCGTCTGCAACAAATACCTCAACCGCGCCCTCCATTCCGTTCTCCCTTTCACCATAGACGAACCCTGCTACGACCTTGGCACCACCACGGCCTGGTACCAAGCCACGGCCCTCTTTGCGGACGTGGTCGCCAGAACCCTCACCTCTGGAGAGGACCTCGTCTGGGTGCAGGACTACCATCTCTTCCTCCTTCCCTCTGTCCTCCGTTGCCGCCGCCCGTACGTCCGCCTCGGCTTCTCCCTCCATGCCCCCTTTCCCTCCCCGGACTTCTTCCTTCCCCTTCCCCTCGCCGTCCGAATCCTCCGGTCTCTTCTCTGCTGCGACCTGCTCGGCTTCCACGCGCTGGACCAGGCCCGCCACTTCCTTGCCTGCTGCCACCGCGCCCTCGGGCTCCGCCAGTGCACCCGCCTCTCTCCGTCCCCCGACGGCTTTCTCGGCATCAACCACCTCGGCCGCACCATCGGGATCCACGTTCTCTTCCCTGGCATGGCCCGCTTCCAGATGTCAAACTACTACTCCGCCGCCCAGTCCACACCTGTCCAAGAAGATCTTTCTCGTCTCCGCGACCGATTCAGTGGCAATATCGTTCTCCTCGGCATGGACGATTTGGACGTCTTCAGTTCCATCAATCTCAAGCTGCTTGCCGTCGAGCGGCTTCTCCAGAGGCATGCCCACTACCGGGGCCGTATCGTCCTGGTCCAGGTGATCACCGGAATGGACCCCGAAGACGAGCGCAGCACCTTGCTCCTCCAGGATATCCGCGCTAACTGCGAGAGAATAAACAGCGTGTTCGGTTCGGATCTTTACAAGCCGATAGTGTTAAAAAGACGGGCGATGAGCTCAGAAGTCAAGGCCGCACACTACATGCTCGCCGACTGCCTTGTGATCACGGCCATGAGGTGCGGAGCAAATCTTATCCCCTACGAGTACGTTGTTTCGCGTCAGGCCGACCCCTCAACCCCTTCCGCACCGAAGAAGAGCAGGCTTGTCCTATCGGAGTTCATGGGGTGCTCGCAGGCGCTAAGCAGGGCGACCACGGTCAACCCACTGAACATCGACGACACAGCGGAAGCGTTGGCCAAAGCAATCGACATGAGCGAGGAGGAGCAGCAGGAACAGCATGAGAAGCACCACACCTTCATCGAAAACCACGATGTGGCCTACTGGTCCAGGAGCTTTGCCGAGGATCTGAGGAGCTGCACCGAGGACCACCTCAACAACAGAGTGAGAATGGATGGTTCGATCGTGACGGTACATAAAGAGAGCTTCACAGAGCTCCAGAAACAAAGGGTAACCATGGCTTACATGAACACTGCGACCAGGGTCTTGCTGTTGGACTATGATGGGACTCTGGAATCCGTGATGGACACACCACAAACATGGGTGATAGAAACCCTGAACGCCCTGTGTGCTATGCCCAAGAACACGGTCTTCATCGTCAGTGGAAGAACAAAGAAGGAATTACAAACGTATTTTGGGGCGTGCAGAGGTCTTGGGATCGCTGCCGAACATGGCTACTACGTAAGGTATAATCCTGTCCATCAAGAGTTTATCGATGTTGTGTATGTGCTGATACAGCCTCTGTGGATCTCATGAATCCTCATTCTCAGTAGGAAGAAACAATCACTTAACAGGTGGAACTACATTAGTGACACGGTCGTAAACCCTGAAACATTTCGATCTTTACTTTTAGGTGGCCCGGAAAAACTGAATGGATAACTGCAGATGACGGCGACGACCTTGATTGGGTCCGTATCGCTCGGCCAGTGATGAAATGGTACACCCGGGCCACGAACCATTCCGTAATGGAGATCAAAGACAGTGCACTTGTGTGGCAGTGCCGACATTCGGACGCGACCTATGCATCTGAGCAGACAAACGAGATGGCGGACCATTTAAAGGATCTGCTGATGAACGAGCCGGTAGCCGTCAAGACCGGAGACCGTTCAGTGGAAGTCCATCCGAAGGTACGTTATGCGTGCGTTTACGACAAGAGAACTGACCCATGCCTGTTACGTTGTTTCATCTGCGTTCTCACAGGGTGTTAACAAAGGCTCATGTGCCAAGAAGATCCTCTCGGCAATGGCAGACCACCGTCACCGAGCGGACTTTGTGCTGTGCGTCGGTGATGACTCCTCGGACGAGGAAATGTTCGAACTTTTCGCCTCCAAAAAGCACGAGGATGTCGTTGCTTCTCGCGCCACCGTGTTCACCTGCAAGGTTGCCGGGAAGCCCAGCAGGGCCAAGTATTATCTGGAAAACATGGAGGAGGTCAAAGGTTTGCTTGTAGCTCTTAAAAATGCCGTGGGACCGATATTCCACCGCCCGCACGGATGATATCTGCAGTGAAGTTGGACATGTCATCGGGGATAGGTTGAGAGTGATTTGCTGGACCCGAACAATCAATTCGTATGCTGTCTCTGCTTCCCATGATTGCTTCGATTCTGGACACAAGTTATATGCGCGTGGCGTCGAGGAGCAAGAGGGATCTTCGACTTACAAAATATTTAATCAAATTTGTATTAGCACCAGATAGTTAAAACCTTTACTTTTTATATTAACACAGTATTAATATTTTAGATGTAAGAAAAATATACGATCAAGTATATCAACACCATATATTTTAGGTGTAAAAGAACTACACTTTCGTTATTTTTTATAAACTTTTTATTATTTTCCCCTTAGAACTTCATTCCATAGCAAAGGCTAAGAAATCACCTATATATATATATATATATATATATATATATATATATATATATGTTGACTTATAGAGTGATCTTTATTAGGTGGCACGGACAAAATGAATGGATGACAATAGATGAAACCAACGACATACTATGAGTACAATTGTTATATAGTTTATAGTTTAAAGTTAACACACTTTGATACTCTTATATATCTCTTACATCAGACATCTCTATGAGTATAATTAAGGTCAAACATACTATGATGCTCTCACGTATCCAATAATCTTATACAATTGTTTCTAATTTGTGTACTCTAATATCCTGTTGTATCTCCATGCATCTAACACTACTTATACTGTCGTTTCAACTCCCCACACAAACAGTTTAAGTTAACATGTCTCAATGCTTTTGTTAGTTTAGTATGCTTGATACCTCCATATATAAGTTACTAAAATTTGCATGTCATGACACCCTCGTATGTCTTCGCACATCACTCAGTAAGATAACATACGTAATTCAAGTCGATATATCTCGATGCGCTCATGCATATCATATATTTGACATCATTAATCTGACACCTTCCACTTAGCACTAATGAATTTGACACCTTCTACTTGGAGAATTAATGTTGGCACGCTCTAATGTTCTGAATCCTCTTCTACCTTTGATACTCCATTGTATTAATTCCAGTACGTACTGCAAAAAATAAGATACACGCTGACAGCGTGGAATGCTTGACTTCTCTGATGATCATCTCCAAACGCACCTTGAAGTGATACATCCAAATTCAACATCACAACCTCGAAAACAAATGCTCGGATTCGATGCCTCGTCGATTCGTACAGGAAACTGGAGGATTTATTAAATCTCAGCCGTCCATCAGTCCCTCACCTTGAATACCAACCATTCACTAACGCATCAGCCATCTTGCACGAATTGGAGAGCACCTATGCTTCCCATGCCTTAAAAGCATGCAGGGAAGAGCAGGGGTCGTGGGTCCCATTTCAGGCATCTTGAACACTCGTTATCCTTCTTCCTTTCTCGTTCTCCAACATCCGTGGATCCATCCCCTGGATCCAGTCCCAAGGACATTTCGCCAACAACCTCTTCGGTCTCGTTCGCCTCTTCTCGCGGTGATCGAGATCCAAGAACCGATCTCGTCGGGTCCGTTTCTTGCTTCGACCCACTTTCTTCGATCGGTTTCTTTCGAACCCCAGGAGATTTGAAGGATTCGAGATCGATGGCCGAGAGCGATCATGCTGCGCAGAAGGACACCGAGGCAGCGGGAACGAAGGTCGATGAGGATCGGACCATGCATGAGGAGCAGCGGTTCCCCGAGGACCCATCTATTTCGCACGGCGCCGAGCGGCCGAGCTGCTCGGTCGATGATTTTTGCATTGGCGGCACATCAGAAGAGGCCGAGAACGTCGAGTCGTCATTGATCCGCGGGGAAGGATTGGGCAGAGATGCCGCCACCGAGCCGGAGAGGCAGAGATCTCCCTACTTTCGCCAGAGGAGTGCCGTCCCTGGTGCCGAGGGCAACTCGATTGGTAAAAAGTACGTTCCATTCGACGTGGTGAATGGTCTGCACACAACCCAGTCGATGTTGAAGCTCGAAGAAGTAGAAAGGGCTGCGGAGAGCTCCGTTTCCAAGGTCGTTGTGCTCAAGACATTGTTTTATATTTTGGTCTGGTACACATTCAGCACTTGCTTGACATTGTGAGTGTTTAGATATTTCGAGTTGCACGTTCTTTATATGACAGCCATAATTGATTGTGATTGCTGATCATGTATAGTTTATTTTTGGTTTGCTTCTCTCGATATAGGTACAATAAGACGCTATTAGGCCATAAATTAGGGAAGTTTCCAGCACCATTATTGATGAATGCATTTCATTTCACACTTCAAGCTGTTTTATCAAAAATTGTTGGGTGCATCCAGTCTCGGGGAGCTGATGTTGGCATTACAATGACGTGGAAGGATTACTTCATTAGAGGTATCTGTCTAACCATTAATTTCTTTTATCCTGTCAGTGAAGCTTTACTTTTCTAGAGAGAGGTTGATACAAGTCACCATTGTGAGAACTTTGAATTGGAAATACTTGTACAAATCTCGTAGTGATGTTTGGAATCTAACTCTTGCCTAGCAGAAGTTATTTATGATTCGGTGGGTTAACAAGGAATTTAGGGGCCACCAATAATGATTCACTATGTGTACCCATGTAAGAGTTTATTCTACAGATCATCTCAATTAATTTCAATTGAACTGGGACTTTGTAAACAACTTCCACCAATTTATTGGCAAATTCAAGGGCTTTTGCTTCTAGAATTTAAAATTCTGTGAAATGTCTCATGTACTTGCTCAATCATAGTTAACTGAGTTTATTATATTGCAGTAGTTAACGAGTTAAATGAGTTTGCACGAGGTTGTATAACGGAGTAGCAACATAATGATAGAAGTTAACAAGTTAAATGAGTTTCCAATCACTGTTTGCACTAGCAATAAATGAACTCCTAGACATTGTTAAAGATAGAACCTCATCATGTGTTACTTAGAACTTCATACCAAGGTTCGCTGTATCGTACCGTACCGACGTTTCGACCCGGGCTCGGTACGGTATGGTACCGGTGTACCGGGCGGTACATCAGGACGTACCGAATATTTTATTTTTATTTTTATACTGTAGCAGTGCTACAGTATAGTACTATAGCACTGTAGTGGTACCGGGTGGTCCGCGTACCAATAACCTGTAAGACCGGTATGTACCGTCCGATATGGGCCAGTACGCTTCGGTACGACAGACCTTGCTTCATACTATTATTGTATGGAAAGGTAGAAGATCAAAGAAAACTTGTTTAGAAAAGTTAATATTACAATACCAATTGTCAAAGCAATATAATCATAAGTAGTGCTTCATGGAGGGAAATCATCTGAGTTGGTTAGAACTTGAAACAAAATCTTGTTATTGTTGTTGCGTAATGTAGGAAGGATATAAATTAACAAAAGGGCAATGTTGATAAATAAAAAATAAGTATATTAATAGAATTAATATTAGATGATAATTTAATAATAGAATAATTATAGTGACCAGTAGATCCTTTCCTTTATGGTTACTGTAGGGCTACATAACTCATTTAACCATGCATGCCTGACTGGGCATGCTGAGCTACATCTTCATTTTAGAAAATTCTGTGTACTAATGCTAGACAAGGATTATTCATTTTGGAAAATTGTGTACTAATGATGGATAAGGGTTATTTTTCTGCAGTTGTGCCAACAGCTCTTGGAACTGCTCTTGACATAAACTTGAGCAATGCTTCTCTTGTTTTCGTATCCGTGACATTTGCCACAATGGTCTGTTTCTTCCAAGAGAACCTTGTCGATTCTATTGTTTTCTGATACAGGCTTCTAGAGCTCCTGAGATTTTGACATTGTTCTGCTTGTGATGATATCATGCAGTGTAAATCTGCCTCTCCAGTTTTTCTTCTACTGTTTGCTTTTGCATTTAGGTAATTCTTAATATTCTATAATACTTGAGTAGTTTCTTGGTCCCCCTTTTCTCTGTTACTATATCAATATTTGTGCATATGCGATGCATAAATGTAATTTTTAGAATTTTTATTTCTCACTTCAAAAAATGTAGCTATATGACTTTTGTAATCAAGAAGCTAATACCATTTGTCCAGAAATATTTTGTACATTTAACTTATTCCAAGAAATGGAGTGCAGGTTGACTTTACAGGTTCCAGTGATGCATATGAGATACTAGTCATCAACTTAAGTCCAATTATAGAAAAGCCTCATGATGACATATTGTGGTCCTAGAATCAGAAACAAGTAAAATATTTTTTAAAAAAATTAAGATTGACAAATCTTTTTCTTTGTATTTTTGGTGTAAGATTAGATACATACAATATTCTATGGCTTTATCTTGATATGTAACAAAGTTTTTTTCTATAAGTATGATGGCATTCACCTACTATAATGACATTTATGTGTTGCTGACCCTTTTTTACCGCATACTTGCTTAATATCATTCTAAATATTCCATTTACTTAAGGTTGGAGACTCCTAGTTACAAGCTTTTGGGCATCATATTGATCATTTCCTTTGGAGTTCTGTTAACAGGTATATTTAACTTTAATCTATGTCATCATAATCTTTTGTCAGAAAATTAGTTATTATCTGAGTTCTTTTTTAATTGCAAAGATGAGAAGAGCTTATATACTCAACAGGTTTCTGCAAATATGTAATTCAATAGTGTTAGCGGTGCATATAATTATCCAACATGGTTGTTTATGCATTCTTCCGTAATGCTATATCAAGAAAAAATTTGCTAAATCGTTATTCAGTTAATCACATTTTGAATCCCTATGTTGTCCAGACTCCATAGTTTGTTGATTGTTAAAGAAATGTATGATATCTCATTGTTGAAGGCCAAAACTATATAAATAAGTATGACAAATATGAGAAGTCAAACCAATATAGCTATAAATTGTAGTCAAAAGAAGGTGTCAGCGAATCTGGTAAAGACCTTGACAGTTTATCGCAAGTTCCTGGACTCGAATCCCACCTTCGTCACTTACCCTTTGCAAAAAAAAAAAAAAAATGAAAGCATAACTTATGGAATGATTTGTAATTCATGTAATGTCAATAATTATCCAGATGCATTTTCATTCTTGTGCAGACTGTAAGCAGCAACATAGTTATATGTGGCTCCATAATGTTATTTCATTGCTTAAACATAATGTTAATGTTTAAGCAATGTTTGGAACATTGCTCACTGAATAACATCGAAATATGACCTCAGAAATACAGAAAGATACGACCTAATGTTATTTCATTGCTGATGCATACATTATTCCTTACTATTCGAAATTCAAATAGTTATACACCTTTTGATTTTACTGTGTTCTATAGGTTTTAAGATCTTTATATGAAGATCAATATCTGTTGAACTCTGTAGATGTCACCAAGCATATAACTGTACATTTAGCTTGGATTTTGATAATTGAGCCTCAAATTCCATACTTCAATTACTAAGGAGTAGCTATCATTGCTATTTCATATTGAGAAGGCAGAGCCATTTTCCTTTCTTTTTTTAGCTTTGTCATTTAAAATCAGCAATTACACTTGATTACTTCATGCATCAAGTCAACCATGCTAAAGCATTTTTTTAATATTTTAAAAAGATAATGATAAGAAAGGTTTTGAAAAAGACAGGGTAAATAAGTGGTTTGCTATACTTGGTTATTCTATCATGTATAAAAACTATGCTATATACCTAGAAAGATTGTGTAATCAACCTACACTACCTATTCTTTTTTTTTTTTCCCTAGATCCCCTAGAGCTTAAATTGTTGAATGGCAGCTTTTACCAGCCCAAAGCTTGTGATTTGAGTCCAGAGACAACATCGTGCTAAAATTAATACACTCTATTGGTCTTGTTTTCCTTTCTTGATTCAGGACAGTTAATATACTGGGCACTCTCCATAAAAGGTCAAGAAATGTAGCTTTGCATTCAAAAGAGATACCACTTTATATAGGTTACAAGTTGGGTTAGGAAACTCTGGCGGCTTAGCTTCTTGCATGAGAATAGGGCCAGTAGACTTTATAATTGGTTTAGTGTCGTATGAAGACTTAAGAGTCCAACATAAACAGCTCTGGAGTATTGACATATATGAGTACTTGCTGCTGAAAATATTTCCCAAGAGTGATATACCTACTTTCATGAATCTTTAATCCACCTCCATCAATTATTTATAGTTTGACACTTCAACTTGTTTGTTTCTGACTCGTAAATGCCTATACCATTTGGATTCATAACATCACTGAAGCCAACTTCATCCTTGAATGTTATGACTTACCTCATGAATTCAGGATCAAAACAGATTTTCAGCTTGCAAATTTATCCTTAGGTTGGATGGAATTAGTGTGACTTTATCCTTTTGAGTTCTTTTCTGATGGATCTCTTCCTGAGATTAGCCACGTGTCAGATTATGATGGTATTGACCCCTTTGATTAGATCCACGTATCCTACTTTACAGAGTTATATATTAGAAGACCAAGAAATGAGCCTAGATCACTGATTGATATACAGGTCATAGTGGCGAGGGTTCATGTTTAGAAGATCAATAAAAGCGCCTAGACTACCGTTTGATACACAAGATATGGCTGTGAGTACAAAGAATTAAGTTTGTGCAACTACAGAGAAACCATTTATTTGAAAAAGAGTATGCTGCTGGGGTCAAATAGTGATCATGTTCATCCTAGGATGGATCAAATGTTGATAGCACCATATTCAGACATAATCCTTATTAGACATGGAAAGCTAGATTATTCATGACAGTGACAAAACTATGGGCATTAATACTCATAGATTCTCTGTTCACTGTTTTAGTTATTCTTACCCATCCAACAAATTTCTTAAACAAGACTTGGTCATTTCATGTGATTCCATTGTAATGATGTCTATCTGCCTCTAAATGGAATGTTCTGATCTGTGGATTTCAGTTGTGACATGAAAGAGACCCTATAGACATCTATACTCAAATTACTATTTGACCCCATTTAGTGCCTGTGATCTGCTCCTGGTAAACCATCTTCTCAAGTTACTTTTAGATTTATAAGCTATCTTTAATTCCACTTAAATGTATATCAGATATGGTAAAACGAAGTGGTGTTTATGTCATTTGATGTTATCAAGCTCTATAATGTGATTGACTAATATGATTGTTTCCAGTTGCCAAGGATACACAGTTTGACTTTTGGGGATTTGTCTTTGTTATGTTTGCTGCTGTTATGAGTGGTTTCCGCTGGTCCATGACTCAGATTCTTTTGCAGGTGTGTATATGAATACTTTCTTCAAAATGATATAAGCTTCTTTATCTATTGTAAATTGTGACTTTAAAAACACAGTTAAAGTTCCAGAATTACTAATGATCTTTTTTAGGCTAAATGCAGCTGCTTTTCTTCTCTTATTCTAACATACATCACATTTTTTGCATGCCATTTCTGAACTCATCATGAAGAAAGAAGCTTATGGTAAGTAACCTAGCCTGCTTCTTTTAAATGATTCTAAGAGACCTACTAGAACAATATAGAATGCTATAAACCATGCACTCACCATGGATCTTGTTTGCCTGCCGTAGAATGCTTTCACGAGCACACTCCCTTTGGATTGTGCCTAATCATATTGGGTTTTATTTTGACTGAACTGTCTTTTGTTGAGTTGATCATAGCAAAATTATAGCTGTTACAGAGTTGATACTTTGAAAAACCCTTGCTTAGATCAATAAAGTTCATGTGGTTATTTTGGTCTTCTATAGGTCTAAAGAATCCAATCACTCTGATGAGTTATGTTACTCCTACCATGGCTGTAGCAACTTTAGTCCTCTCCCTAGTGATGGATCCTTGGCATGATCTTGACACAAATGCATACTTTGATAGTCCATGGCATGTTATGCTCAGCTGTCTCTTAATGCTTACTGGAGGAGCATTGGCTTTCTTTATGGTATGTGTTGAATATCCTTCATCAGCTGTGTTATTCTCAGTGATGGTATCTTGAAATTATCTTATTAGCATTACTACTCATTACAAACAAAAGTAAAAGCAGTTAAATGTTGTAACTTGCAGGTATTAACTGAATATATTCTTGTTTCAGCAACCAGTGCTGTAACTGTTTCTATAGCTGGTGTTGTCAAGGAAGCTGTTACTATTATGGTGAGAATTGATCCTTAAAATACTGCTAGTATTGTTTAATTTTGTAAGTCTGTCAGTATATTAGCATATTTGTTATAAGTTTTCATTTCTATTTTACCTTTCTACTTGCCTTCTGCTATATAGAATAGCAAATCATGATGACAATAAATTGGCTATTATTCTTCACTCTATGAGGAAGATATAATGAAACAAGTAGCAAATAGTGTTCACAATAAAGTGGCTATCATTAACAATGAAAATTTTTAAATTAGAATTCCTGAAAACTGAAAAGAAATAGTGGAAAGCAAAGAGCCGATTTTGGCAACTGGTCTGACTGGTACGACAATGAAATACAAGGTGGTATATTAACATGTATCACCTAATATCACTGAGAAATAATAAATAATGGCTGGTCATGGGCCATGTAGGTCGGTGCCAATCTTTAGTGGGGCTGATAAGTATCAGTTAATGTGTACCATTCTGATCTTTAACTCTCAAGAGTTGTTTTCTACTTTTTATGCTTACATTAGTTTTTCATACTTGTGTTTCTCTCATTTGAAACTTATGTCATGATTTTGTATCATCTAATTATCCATCTAAACTTGTGATGTCTACAAAGAGATGTCCCTTCAGATCCTTGAAATCACATCAAAAAAGTCCTTATTCTGAAAAAAGGATATGAAATTAGGGAAAAAATATTACTTGAAAAGAAAGTTGCATTATTATTTCCATTGAATTGTGAAGAACTGTTGGACGACTTAGGTTTGTAGTTGGCATATACAGTTAGGAGAGACGTTCAGATATCTTCTTTTAGGTTGCAGAATTTTAGCTACCAAAAGGTAAAATTACAAAAGTGCTACATATAATTAATGATTTTACTAAACTAATTCTTTTGTAGTCAAGGTTTTCACACTTGGTCACCTATTGCTGTTTGGTCCATTTGAAGCACACTTGTAAGTTTGTGGTACAACTGCATGTCATAGTTTGCTCTAAGTATTGAAAGATCAATTCGGAAACAATTTATAAATAACAAAAGATAGCAACCTTTGCATGGGGCAAGACATAACAAAGTAGTCTTAAAATAATAATTTGCATCGGACAAGACAAAGACAGAGTGGATATTAACATATCAAATGTAGTTTAAATCTTCATGGAATATTAAAATAAATTAGCATATTTTTAGTCAAGCTTTGCCAAAATCATACACAATTCAAAATAAAAAATTTGGGACAATTTCACTTTAATTAGAGTAGTAGAACATAAAAATATAATAGCAACCAAGTGCATTAATAGCATCAGATCTGCAGGATCATGTTTGAAAAAGCATGCAAACACCACAAAATCATTATGTTAAGCCTAAAACAATATAGTTCACCTCCATAATGTTTTCTAGGACCTCCTTGTTGAATTTGTGAAAGGCTGCAAATTATTTCTTTATGGTCCATCAACAGCATCTCTTTCTTCATCATTAAAGGAGCATGATGTTAGTAAATTACAAAATTACCACAGTAATAACACAATAGTATGTTATTATGTGCTGGTTAAATGTTTTCTTGATTAGTTTTACTTTGCTTTCACTATCATGTAGAAGTTCAGTTATTTACAAGTTTTGTTAGTCATATTTTACTGATGTACTAGAGAAGAAAAAACATTATAAGATTTAAGTGCCCAACTTATATGGTTTATCAAGAAATGCTGCTGGCCTTATAATAGCATAGCACTCAAGCAGGTATACCCATCTTTTTCAGGTTTCTTTGTTCCAACGTCCTAGGTCACTTCGGTGACTTTCTTTGCTAGCCAACATCGCATGCCTTTTCTCAATTAACTAACATTTTTCCAATATTCTCATTTGGCTTCTGATTTTGCTTATATGTAGCTTACAAGACTTTATGTTAGTTATAAGAATATAAATGATGTTGTTTAATTAAACTAAAAACAATTATTGATTTTAGAAAATCTGTCCAGGTCGCGGTGTTTTACTTCCATGACCAGTTTACATTGATAAAGGGGATTGGACTTCTTATAATCATTACCGGTGTCAGTTTATTCAACTGCTATAAGTAAGTAAACAACTTATTTTTTGGTTTGTGGAAATATGCATTTTTTTAATGTTGCTTATAATTCATAGTGCTAGTTCATAATAATTAGTGCAATCATCTATGGTCATGATGATTATTAGCTGAATTTGGATATGCTTTATTCATTCTTTTCCTGCGTAGCATTCCCAAACCTAAATCTGAAACTCTGACAACTATTGTCATTCATTTTTGAGATAATTGTAGTCTTTCTAGCTCTCCAATTCTATGTGTATATATAAATTTTTACTAATGCTAACTACTGTATCATCCTTTAAGCCCATGAATTTAGTGACTACCAAATACAGTTATTGGGTATATGTAATACTCGAAGGTGGATCAGTATCATATATGAGAATCATTTATCTTGATATTAAACCCAAGTGAACCAACAATTGGTCCTAAAGCATCACTGCTAAGTATGGATGCCTGTGTTGCTGTTATTGCTCGAGCTTGAAGGATCAGGATACTAATTATGGGCTGCTGAAACCTCAATGTGAAATGGGGCTTTGCCCCAGTTACCCTAAAAGAAGTTAATGTGTAACTAATTAAAAGAATCATTTCTATCAAATTGTAAGAACTTTTGGCACTGGTTCAAACTCATAGATACTCTCATCATAGTAGCATTAACACTTCATTTCCATAAGGAAGAGAAAATCGTAGCAGATTCCTTCAATGTGCCAAATACTAAATAGACTACTCTTAAGTCAGTCACATGGACTTTATGCATCTTAATTTGTCGTAAAAACTTACATCAAGTTTGAATCCATTAAATTGTTTTATCTTTAATTTATCACTACCTTGATATTTCAGATATGAAAAACTGAAGAAGGGTCAGCCAAAGGAAAATGAAGAAACCATATCTCCAAGTCCCAGTGGAGCAGCAAAATATGTCATCCTTGATGACATGGACCTTCTACATTATGAAAATTGAATCACACAGTACAATCAGATATCCAATTTGAAACTGGTGAGGACCTTTGCACATATCTAAAGCAGCAATTTTTTTTATGCTTGAGTTTCAGGTTAACCATTTCTTTATGCGGTTCATTAATTTGTTTGATTCATTTTTTAGGCTTCCTTTCCCTGTAGCATCTGTGGATCTATGCTTGCATTAAATTGTATGTAATTGTACCTTTATTTCTGCTACATGTAACAATTATGTTGGGGGGCAAAAGAACAGATTTTTACCTTTTTCTTCTGGGCCGAGGATATCTACATAGAGACACTGAGGCAGACCTGAAACCTGCTCTTGACTAACTTTGATTTTCCTGTTCCTATCTATCCATCAATTGAAGTTTAGATGGAACTCATACTGCTTGACACCAGAATATTCACTAATTCCACACCAAAAAGAAGTATGACCTAAATGCTAATAGCATTTATATCAATTTTTATGCCATATGATCTTACCTGTGTAGAATGCAATGCATCTATTTCCCCTTCCCAGTGTCATCTTCATCCTAAAGATCTTTCTTTCAAGATTTTTAAAGTATATTTATATCTTTTAGGAAGTAGTTTGCAATTGTCTAAACTTGCTCCCATGTAGGTGCATATACAAAGATACAATGATGGGGTAAGTGTTCTGAAGCTATAATCATTTTGGCTGTTCACCATAGTCAATATAATTTGCGAGAAACCTATACCAATGTTCAATATTCATTATGATCTAAAATGTTATTTGCACTTTATAGCACTGGTAATTAGACCATTCTTCGTCATTCAGTATATAGCATTTCATATGATTGAATAAAATATGTTGCTTGATCAATTCTTAGAAAAGAGCAAATCACTTTGGGCTATATATGATTATGATATGCTGAACATGATGCACAATGACCAATTTTTATCACCTGAATGGATTTTGGACAACGCCTTGCTGAATTGTTTTTGCTGTCACCACATCAGAAATTTGTGCTCAGTGATTCATTGTAGGCCAATACCAAATGTCATTTTGATGTTACAAAAGTTTTCACTTCCCACCTGATAAAAAAAATTAAAATAACATCATAATACAACCTGCTGTTAATTGAACTGCTACTATTATTTATGGTGCTATCTCATGCCAGGTTGCCATAGTTGAGCCTCTGGACTATCTAGCTAACTGGAGTTCTCAGTGATAGTATCATTTGTAACGGAAGGATTGCCACTGATCTTATATTATATCATCTTTTGCTAGAACTTCTGAATTATGTTACCATGTATCTTTTGATTTATACATTTCATTGCCAAGTACAGTCGTTTGTTTTGATCAACTTGTCCACCATAATTAAAATACTTTATTTGTTAAGCACCTAACTTCGTTTGGAAAGTCACATTTTTGACTTAAGGATTTGGTGATGGTTCACCTGATTCAAGTTTTGCTATAATCTGTTCCATCTGCCAGATAATGATTGTCCTCAAAACTTGGTGTCCAGAGGCATCCATGCTCTTCCAGGTTCTTTAGGATGTGCCGGACTGCAAGTTTGCTGATTGTCTCATCAAATTGTTTGCACCATGGAAGTCGTAGACAGCACATGGAACTCCCGTGCTGTTGATCGGTTTGAATCGTCTTCTTCTTCTAACATATTATCATGCCATTTGGTGCCTTCTTATCTTTGTTCAACTCTTTTAGAGCAAGAAGCTTTATATCGTGGTATCGTCTATTTTTTCGAGTACCTACATCCCAAGCAACAGCAAGTTGAAGAAACAACCACGCAACATGGGGTCATCAAGCAAAAGGAAAGTCTGCTTTCGCCGGTTTATGTGTGGGAGACTGCTTCTTACTGTAGAAAAATTCTTATTAGGATAGATTGATTGACCAAAAATGTCATGCAAGTTCTTTTTAGTTCTCTAGGGTTGAATATTTTTAGGAAAACATTGAGGAAGATCAGTATTTATTTACTTTTTATTATAAGGAAATATGTTTTTCACTTATTTATTAGATAAAAACTCAAAGAAAAACGTGCCTTTGTTCTCCTTTCCGACATCCCAAACAGGGATTTGTTATGTGTATATATATATATATATATATATATATATATATATATATATATATATATATATATCGATCCTTTTGAAGAACAGTCTAAAAATTATAAATGCATCATACAACTCATTTAATATTTTTGTCTAGCCTTTTCCTCCATGTTTAATTATGTATGAAAGAATTTACAATATATTTTAGAATATATTATCTTGTTACCTGTAATATAAATTTTCTAATGAGTATCGGATTGATTCACGAACGAGTTATGGTCTGTCGATTGGGCGCAGGATGTTTGACGAATGCCTCCTCACTAGATAGAACATCGGGAGAGAAAGCTCCTAATCTGTCAAATTATAGAAGCCTAATTTGATGGTAAAGACTATTAAACTGCGATGTGTCAAACCCAAGTATATTCCTACTTATGCATGTTTGACATTGCACGCTGATGATAAAGGGGTTTAATACCGCAGCTTCGGTTTTCTTTTAATTATCATACAGGGCGTTATACTGATGACGTGGGACGGCGCACGCGAAAGGCAGGTGCCATAAAACCCTATTACGTCCATACTCGGGTGCGTAGTGTATATATAAGCCTCTTCTCCAAGGGCCGCCCGTCGCCGCTCCAGTTCTTCCGCGCCGTCTCCCTGTCTCCAAACCCTAACTCGGGAGAGACGAAATGGTATGCTTATCTCTCTCTCGGCGCCATCTCCTTCCGAGAATTCTATTTTTTTAGCTTCCATGTCTGCAAATAATTCATAGTTCTACGTTGTTGGATCACGAACTAGCTGCGTTGATGTCTCTTCTTTTCCTCCGGTCATGCTGCAAAAGTCCTCCTTTTATGAAGAATCTGAGATTTTTGGAGTGTTGTGTTTCCGATCTTACTTGTTTTGCCTTCTTTAGTTATTTGTTAACCATTTCACGCGTGGAGTTTCGTCTTCCAGGCCCCAAAAAAAGGTGGGAAGGCACCCGTTCCGGCTAAGAAGAAGCCGGTAATGTCATTCTTCTTATTCTTGTATATATTTCTAGTAAAATTTTGCATTTTGTTTTTTTGTTCATGTCTTCCCTCGAGTAATTGTTTCCTATTACCGATTGCTGGTGTTTGGATTTCAGGAGAAAGTTGTGAACCCTTTGTTCGAGAAGCGCCCGAAGCAATTTGGAATCGGAGGGGCATTGCCACCGAAGAGGGATCTGCATCGGTTCGTGAAATGGCCAAAGGTTGTCCGGATTCAGAGGCAAAAGAGGATATTGAAGCAGCGGCTGAAGGTCCCGCCGGCGTTGAACCAGTTCACTCGGACTTTGGACAAGAACCTTGGTGATTAAAAATCTCTCTTTATCTTCCATTTTCTGCAGTTTTAACTTGCTTGGTTGAATCATCTAGCTAATAAAACCATTTTTGGCATCATTTGTTAGAGAAAAGAAGAAATATATCTTCAGTTGGTTGGTTTTTATCCTGCTTAATTATTCCCTTAGGAGTTGCCAAACATTAAGGTGGTTTATCGACTATCTTGACAGCTGATTGGTACAATTGCTTATGCATTTATGAGATAATCAAATCTGTGTTATTTCATCATCCGTATTTTTCTCTCATCTTGATGCTGTTCATTGTGAATATGCTGATCAAGCTTTGTTTTAGTTCAGGAATGGTGTTTTTTCAACGTGTTGTCTCAACTCTTGACTTTTAATTATCCATGTATATGTTTCATTAAACAAACTCACATTTTTCTTGCTGCATCATTCTTTTATCTTTTTTAACATAATCCATATCGAGCTACCTGCAATTCTGCATCATTTATTTAACAACTTAATAAAACTGCATCAGACCTTTCTGGGTATATGGTTTATTTGAAAATAGACACAATTGCAAGGTTGAGAACTAGCATGTAAATTACAATTTAGACAACCATGGAGGAAGGTTCATTATGGGTGTCAATAAATAGCACAGGCTTTCTTAGCTTGGTGGAATGAGTAATCATGGAAGGAAGGAGAGACAGCTTTGAGCTGGAAAGTACATCGATTTGAAAAGGTAATCATATACCTTTTCAGGATTTATTAATTCTGAATTGTGTGAGTATAACCAACTTTTCAAAAATTTGCACAATGAAATTAACATCTGATCTGTGCTTCATTGATGCAACAAGGTACTTTTACATGGTTTAAGTTTAATTGATCTGGAGTCAGTCTAGTTCTACTATGGAGATATAATAGTTATGATTTATTATTGTAATTATATATGAGAGTGAAAAATGACAAATGTTTTTATTATGCTAGGACATTTAATAATTTTAAAGATGGTGGCCAATTGGCACACTTCTAATCACAATTCATCTGTTTTTTTTTTTTTGAGTGATTCTTAAGGGAACTTACATTGTAAGGCAACAACTGATAAGACTAACGGGGTATATCATGCTACTGTTCCTGTGTATTGTTTGATGTGCCCTGATTTGAGTAAAGCCAATGTTTATATTGTGGCATATTATTTTAAAATTTTAGATTTTGATGGGATCAGTTGGATTCTGCTTGACACAACTGGATCCAGAATTCCAATCCAGAGCAGTTGCTTCCAGTCAGTTTGGCCAGTATTCATAATTGCAGTTGTTGAGGTTGATTTACGCAACTCTTAACCATGTTGGCCTGTCATCTTCTGAGTTCTGGTTGTTTTTTTTCTGATCTTTTAACCATGTTGGCCTGTCATCTTCTGAGTTCTGGTTGTTTTTTTTCTGATCCTGTATTGCTTCAATAAATTTTTAATATGGTTCCACATGATTTCCAGTTGGTTGTCACCATTTTCTCAACAATACTGACCAATTTTGGCATTTTTTAGCCAACACCTGGTCTATGTAAGAGGAAAAGAAGACTTCTCCTGCAATCGGAGGTGTTGGATCCTGATGTTAAATATTATGGCAAATAAAGAACCTGATCTGATTTTAATTAAATTTTTTGTATGATAGTTCAGTTTTAGGAATAGATTACAAACATTTTTTTAATAATAAATGGTTGTAACATGTGTTTACCCAACCCCAAGTAGTGGGAACTTTATGGTGCATAACACGGTTGTTGCTGTTGTCGTATAATAAAAATATCTTATCTGATTATGTTTTTTTATGTGTAATAGGAGATGAAAAGTTATATAGTGGGCCTTGGTATTTGTAACTTGTACTTATTTTATGCCCAAATTATTGCTATTTCAATCTTATTCTGATTATCTACTACATCCTAATGTTAGGAACCATATGCATTTGTCTTTGTTTTGATTTGTCATTGTGGACAAGGAGATGCTTTGAATTGTTGGGCTTATTTATTTTTACATAATGTAAGCCTAGAGTGTCATCTTTGTTTTCTTTGGCATGTTTCTTGACTTGTGACACTTCTTTCTGGTAGATCTGATTGTTGCAACACAAAGATTCATGCTTAAATAAGATTGCAATATCTGGTCTCTATATATCATCACATCTTACTGATGGGACTGTCTTTAAAATCTTTCTGCAGCTACAAATCTCTTCAAGATGCTTCTCAAGTACAGGCCTGAAGACCGAGCTGCAAAGAAGGAAAGGCTTCTGAAGAGGGCACAAGCTGAGGCTGAAGGGAAGACTGTTGAAGTTAAGAAGCCTATTGTCGTCAAGTATGGGCTCAATCATGTCACCTATCTTATTGAGCAGGTTTGTTTTATTTTCCCTTCTCCGTTGGATTTACCGTTGCAGATTTATATTTGGTCTACCTCACCTAATCATCTAGATAAACAAAGTTCAAGTATAGTAGAAAAAGAAATCAGAACTTGTTGAGAGTGTGAACTTCACTTCTTGACGTCCCTGCTTGTAGAACAAGGCACAGTTGGTGGTCATCGCTCATGATGTGGACCCAATCGAGCTTGTCGTTTGGCTTCCTGCATTATGCAGGAAGATGGAGATCCCCTACTGTATCGTCAAAGGGAAAGCCCGTTTGGGAGCGGTTGGTGCCTTGCCTTTGCTGTTGAAATTCTGCTAAAACTTCAGAGCTAACCAACACATTCTCATGTGCTGACACAGATTTAATCTGTTCAAATTATTTATTTTAGATCGTACACAAGAAAACCGCATCAGTCCTGTGTCTGACCACCGTGAAGAACGAGGACAAATTGGAATTCAGCAAGATTCTGGAGGCCATTAAGGTGAATCGATGACCCAACAGTCATGCAACTTCATTTGTTTGCTGTTTGTAGTGTGTTTTCCATACTGATTCTACTTCTCCTTTCAGGCCAACTTCAATGATAAGTTTGATGAGATCAGGAGGAAGTGGGGTGGTGGAATAATGGGTTCCAAATCTCTGGCAAAAAGTAAGGCCAAGGAGAAGTTGCTAGCCAAGGAAGCTGCCCAGAGGCTGACCTAGGTCTCATCGTGTTGTTGTCCATGGTGCTATCAGATTCCGGCCTGTGGAATTTTTGCTTAAATTCTTTGACTGAAATCACTGGAGTGTATTCTGGATCTTTAGATGGTGGATAATGTGTTTGTTTACTTGGAACTTTTATTCATCTTTTATCAACTTCGAATGCCTTTTTCTAATTCAAACTCTTCATAAATCCTACAACTTTCTTTTGCTGGTATTTTTGTGCTATGCTCATCTATGAATAAGTTCATGGTGTCGACCATTTTGGTGTAGGATATCTACCTAATAGACCCATTAACTGAATCATTTCCTATAATAACCCCATTCTATGTGGTGTAGGATATCGAGTTATATAGAGCGATCCAACTTCCCCAATTTGGGGTCTTCTCATCGATATCAACTTATAACTAAACCTCGGAAGTATGCAAAGCCAACTCAGTCGTGAAGAAAGTACATTTATTTATTTACATTTCTATCAAGTTTCCTACCGTCAGATCTATTGAATGAAGACCGTCGGATCTAGGTCATTTTAGGGGCGACCGCTCCTTTTATAGGCCTCTCCGAACGGGCGGTGTGGGTTTTGCTGGGTTTCGCTCGCCTCCACCTCACCTTGAGAGAAAAGCCGGCGGAGAGGGATCGTGAGGCGAGATGGTGCAGCGATTAACCTACAGGAAAAGGCACAGCTATGCCACCAAGTCGAATCAGACTAGGGTCGTCAAAACCCCAGGTAAAGATCCAGTCTCGCTATCGTCTTTTAGGTTCGTCGATGGGCTGCTTATTAGTTGGCTGTTGTGAAATCGTCGTCTTTCGTTTTCTATGATCATGTTTGGCTTCGATCCTGATGATATGCGACTAGGGTTTATGGATCGTATCTACGGGAAGATCTGGTTTGTTAACTCGGTTTAATTCGGAAATGTAGGTGGGAGGCTTGTGTATCAGTACACGAACAAGCGAGCTAGTGGGCCGAAATGCCCTGTCACTGGCAAGAGGATCCAAGGGGTATGCAATTCCGTTGTTTTGTAACTCTCATGACTAAATTAGTGCTGAGGCATAGTCTCGCGGACACTCAACTCATTATCGTTTTTCTTTGTCTGCTAAATCATAAATAATTGTAGTTCAAATGCCTGTATTCTTATTGTCGAAATGTACCATGCCAGCATTTCTTGTGTTTGTGTGTATATTTATACCAAGTGCTTACTTTTGTGTCTGCATCAGGATATCTTAGTTTGTTGCCTCGTAATGGACAAATATTTCTCACATGTTTTCTAATTTTATTTTTGTACCAGTACATTCTTGGACTTTGGATGAGTTATAAATATCATTTCATTTCCTTTGGTAATTCTATAACCCAAAATGAGAAGATGAATGAATAACAGCATAAACAAACATAAAATGAGACATATCTGTCGAAGAACAAAATCAGCATGCCTATTTTGTTTCATGATCTTTAGCATACATTACAATTTTGATGTTTAAGTATATTACCTAAGCATATTGTTTATTTCTTTCTCTTCCTGTATCTTGAGGTGTTTTTCTTTTTATGATATTGCTAGTGGTATTTTATGATGCTCACATGGTGTAATGTCATGTCATAAGTGTAATGGTGCAATGTGAAATGCTTTCATATGGCATATTTTTGGAAGTTCAGAGTATGATGATGAAGTTCTTGTTTCGTTTAAATCATTATCTTTTTGTTAATCAAAGTGCTACATTTCTACTGTTTATCAAAGTTTTTTTTTTCCTCTTTTATAAAAGGGTGACTGGTTTTCAGATTCCTCACTTAAGACCAGCTGAGTATAAGAGATCTAGATTGTCCCGAAACCAGAGGACTGTGAACCGTGCTTATGGTGGAGTGTTATCTGGAAGCGCCGTCAGGGAAAGGTCGTGATCATCACTTAAGCTAAGCCTCTCTGAGCTGATCATGATTGCTCTTTCTTATTTCTCATATTTGTGTTATTTCTTTGTTGGATTTGTAGGATCATTCGGGCATTCTTGGTCGAAGAACAGAAGATTGTCAAAAAGGTTTTGAAGATCCAGAAGGCCAAAGAGAAGCAAGCCTCAAAGAGCTAAGGCATGAAAGCAGGCTTCAAATATTTAAGAGTTTTGTTTTATCTTGAAAATTTTGTTCCGATTCATTAAGTGCTATCGCTCTGTGTACTAGAATTTTTGGTAATATGGTTTGTTCCATTGTTTGCCTATCTATGGTTGTACTTCATGCTTGAACCAGTTAACTTTTTCTTGAATTTATAATCAGTAGTATTTTACGATACATCATTGTGATTTTTGTTTTTTCTTAGTCAGGTCATGACTGTTTGTTTTATTGATTCCTGCTTGCTTCATTTTTTTCACTGATGGGCCAATTTTTTTATGTTGAAATTTCCTTCAGGAGCCGTTTGTACAAGATGAGCTGCTGGGACTCATCTGATACTTAGATCAGTAGAGTGTATATTTCATGCCTTGATTTTGTTTCAAACTTGTTATCATTGTAGTTAATCGAGGCTGTGACAAGTCCATCCCTTTCTGGCTTGTTACAGTAGGTTGTGTTCTGGGAGGTCTGTTTTGCCTCTTTTATTTGTGTCACATCATCATGTTTTACTAATAACATAGTAGAATCTAATGTGTCAGTGGCATCTGCATGGATGATACGAAGGTATCCATGGTAACATCCTTTGTTTGCCGGCACATCGATGACTTAACGTACATGTCTTATAAGAGAATTTTAGATACTCGATCAAATATCGAGCTACGAAAAGCAGGATGTGATCTTTCCAATGTTCTAGTCAATTCTAGAATGAAAACAAAAAAAAAATTGAGTAAGCAATAACCAATCTAAATTACTAAGATCTTATAGATTTTTTGTAATAAATTTTAATTAAAACAATATTTTATGATATAAGTAAAATATTTTTTAACATTTGATATTAGATTAATATCTATGTACCTCAATCGTTGATTAGGCCTTGTTGTTTTTTACTGAGTACGTTGTCACGTATCAAGCAATGATTCGACCATCAACTACAAACATATAGTCAACATATTATATATTTTTTAATATAAAAATAGTAATTAAGAGGGATTAGATGAATAATGAAACAAAATAAAACTCTTGCGTATGCCAAAGCTCGTGAAGTGGCAGCACGTGGAATGTTGGCGAGAGGTCTTTCTTTTTTGTTATAACGCTTGATGGAGGAGGGCTCAGAATCGGGCACCGAAGATGCGTGCAGGGATTGCTCTTACACGAAATATTGCCTCGAGAGAATATAGAGAGATCACATACGATCTGTTTAGATCCTACAATTAAGATTGTATACTATATTTCTGGCATCTTTCAACGTCTTTCTTCCACCGACAACTGTTTCGGCGTTCAATGTACGTTCCCAACTTCCCACCAAATGTTGATACCACGTGTCTAAATACACCACCCTTTGAAACTTACACGTGATTTCGTCCATTTTAAAAAATTATTAATAAAACAATATTCCCTCAATAATGGCATAATCAACGAAGAAAATATGGACACTACCCGAATATAATGCGAAATATCCTGAAAACAAAGAGATATGAGACATTTCTCACCTATCACAAAATATTTACTCGATTGATTCTCTATGATTTCATATATTAATCAAGATCGTTTACTATTTATTTTATTAAAATTACTACATATTACTATTTTATCAATCTACATAGAATTACGTCCAAAATCTCACTTAGACTCAACTTTCGTATTGATCAATCATGGGACGAGCGTTCGAGTCTATATCAGACTTCACCTCAATCACATCAATTTTCTTAACCAAATCGAGTTGATTGGACATCACCAATATTATCATCATCAATTATATTAGATCATCGTCCGGTTAAAACCTAATGCACGGATGAATTCCGGTGAATTCCGGTGAATTTTCTGTGTGCACACCGACCATAATCATTGAGACGGACGCCGTGGCAAATTTGTCCGATTTGCACATGGAAGGAGGGAAAAAGCGGTAGCGCGGCTTGTCGCAGCCGACCACTGAGTTGGACTTCTCCATGTCACCTAATGAGTTGGCTTCTCATGCTGTGTGCCACTTAAGAAATTGGACCCGACAGTTTCTATGGCGGCTTGCGAGAAACGAAGCCTTCACTTTCACAAGCGACAGCCCGCATGTGGCACGCCGACGACCGACGACCGACGACCGACGTGATGGGCACACCTTAATCAGCTGGATTTCCATTTCTATTAGTTAATTAGAGTTTTGGTCAGGTTGGATTCGGATGTCACCTGTCGCGGATCCTAACCCGTTTCGGGAAACGGTAAGACGCCGCACGTGTAGATTTTACTGGATTCTATACTTAGGTTAGGATCCTATGATAGCACATTCGACATGGGACCAAGGTTTATGACGCACGTAATCGAGCATGTGTAAACATAAAATTTATCCTTACATTATTATTACATATATAAATTATTATCAAAATCTAAAATTAAATAATAATATATCTAAATTTTATGATACATATTTTTCAATATCATTTAGAAAATTTTTATATCTACGACACATCGTCCTCAGATTTAAGTTATGATGATGCTGATCTATAAAAAGAAATAAACTTGATTTTTCTTCTCTTCTTATCTTTTACATATGATGTTATAAGCATGATAAAATGAAGGATGAAAGAAGATTTGTTAGTATTGTTCTTTTATAGACGAGCACAGGGGATTTAGGATCTAGAATAAGTAATTCAAAAAGTTCATATCAAAATTATATCGTATAAAATTATATCATTTTTTTATTGATCAATAATCATAATTAGAATCCAATCATACATATAATATATCTTATATAATTAAATAATATCATATAATCTAATAATATAAAAATAAAACTAAAATCTAATTATAATAATTGATAATGGATGTATAGCACAACGTCCAATAAATAATTGATTGATTGAAAAAATTGCAACTCCAAATTTTAAACCCATACCCAACTCACTTTGATTATATATATGGGTTAGAAAAATCAAACTAAAATAGAAAACCATTCTATACCGTTTCCAACATCACTGTTTCCCGAAGAATGATCGGTGTTATAGTCTATATGATCATGCTAGTTGGGATTAATATATATATTAGATTTGATATCAATTTAATTTAGAAGTTTAAGTATACTAAGATATGAGTCGATCTCAATATATATTATCCGTTATTTTAAATCTTATCATTTAGGATTATTCTATAGTTCTTTCTATTTCTCTCTTCGTACTTGAATATTATTGATATATATTTAGTGCATCAAGGCATCAAAATTCATGCATCAAGATAATATGGTGGAACGACGATCGCCTTCTTCCAATGTGACACTTACAACCTCGGAATAACCAAAATTTTCTAGTGCGGGCTAATACATCCTTCCATTGACCACTTTCACTTCTATTCCTTTTACGATTTTGATCTCGAGTTTTTTCTTTTCTTCCTCGAAGTGAGCCTTTCTATTGGCTTTGTAAACCGTGGGACTACTCCGCCGCACATTCACTTTCCAAGTCCAAATGGACTGAGCGCTGCTTTGTCTTGTTGGGCACGGAATTCGGTACAAAACGCCGAGAAGAAAGCTGTGGTGACAGCTCCGTCGCACCTTCCGAGGTTGAAGCGACGACGATCCCCTCGCTGTACCATCTGCTGCTTGACGCGTCATTTGGACTGCTCCCCATGTAAGCAATCTCAATTTAGCCTTGATTAGGCCTCATCAACGTGAATTAGCTACAAATGATTCCAATTAGCGGTGTTTAATTCGCTCAAAGAGACACTTGGAACACTTACGTAGCTCATGGCCATGCCATGTTACTCCTATCACCGAATCAACGATCCTACACGTTTAGTTTGGGCTCGTTGATTGCTATGGTGGTCCTGCTTGCATCAACAAAGGTCGAAAGATAACACGCCTCATTGCTGTCCCATGGACACACGAGAACGAAAGAGACACACGTCTCCAAGAATCTTCTCCAGTGCTTGGCTAGCTGGATAACATGCACACAGCTCTTTTATCTCGCCCGCATCTGAACCATGTGGCAGTGTATGATCCAAAACTGGCCTCTGGCCAGCTTTACGTGCGGAGATTGGAGAAGAAGGTCTACCAGTTTCTATCTATCTGTCTATAAATATATACCAGGCGGCAGACTGGTGTCTTACACTTGCATCCTTCTTCTTCAGGCATGGCTTCCTTCCGCGGTGGTTTCCTCGCGGTCGCCATCCTTTCTCTGCTGGCGAGCGCCGCCCGCGCGCAGCTGTCGCCGGCCTTCTACGCGACGACGTGCCCCAACCTGGAGACCATCGTTCGGTCGGTCATGGCCCAAGTCGTCGCCCAGGATCCTCGGATGGGCGCCTCCATGATTCGCCTCTTCTTCCATGACTGCTTTGTGAATGTAAGTTCACTTCCCTAATTCCTCTCCTTCCTCCTTTTTTTTCTTGCTCATCAGAAAACTTTGCTTGCCCTGTGAGGAGTTCAGAAGAGGTGCACTGTGACCACCAGCTGTCCCTCTAATTCTCCTAATCAAATCACAGAAATCACTTCTCACATGCACGAAGCACTTCCAGCTAACACGCGGTCGGTCGATGAGCACGCGGTTTTGGTACGCGTGCAGCTTGGAACGAATGTTGAGGACCACGATCATAGTAATCTTTTAATGTCTGCGTTCAATATCGACAAGACTATTCAACCAACCACACAGATCAACGGGGAGTAACCTATGCCGTAAAACGAAGCATCCTACACAATTTTTCGATGCTAGAATGGCTTATCGTTTCTGCCGTTAAAAGCAACACCAGGATGGAGATGTGAACTTTAGATTCGCTTTAAGATGCACTCACACACGATTGATCCTTTTATGTCGGTTAATTTGATTGGCTAGCTTAGTTTGGAACGTCTGAAGTCAAAGTTTCCGATCTATATTATTGGACCGGTCATCTTTTTTGTCGTTATTAGGCAACCGAGTGGCGTAAGGGAGTCGTCTCGATGAGCCACCCCCCCCCTACGTTGGGCTCGCGGGGGAGCAGAAGCAAAGAAGTACTTTTGAGTCGGTTGATATCGACGTGTCGTCTGATGATGGCGAAATCCGTCGTCCCACACATTCATTATTATTTCTGGACAATGCTTCGCAATCAATCGTGTACGATTGACTCCATGAAATAGACCCAAGTAGTTATCCAGCTGTATCCTAACATGAATCCCGATTGAACATCAAGTCGGTGGACGGCGTCAATTGTGATGCTGTCCTTGTATAGTTGATTACGTTTGACTACCACATTATGCTGAGCAGCAAGAACTTAGAATTCACATGCGAGGAATAGGATTCACGCACCGTCGTCGTCGTTTCTTGGGACGATTGGAGTTGCTGATGAAGCTGATGGTTTGCACTCCTCAGGGCTGCGATGCATCCGTCCTCCTGGACGACACACCGACGATGGCCGGCGAGAAGAACGCGATGGGGAACATGAACTCCCTCCGCGGCTACGAAGTCGTCGACGCCATTAAATCCAGAGTGGAGGCGGCATGCCTGGCGACGGTGTCCTGCGCCGACGTCGTCGCCCTCGCCGCGAGGGATTCGGTGAGCCTGGTGAGCGCCACCGGATATTTATTTCCTTTGGCAATTCGGCTTCGATTGCCACGTAAAACTGACACATGCCGGATGCCATGCAGCTCGGGGGGCCGTCCTGGACGGTGATGCTGGGCCGGCGCGACGCGAGGGTCGCGAGCAAGGACGCCGCCAATGCTAACCTCCCGCCGGCCTCCGACAACCTCAGCAGTCTCATCAGTAAGTTCGCAGCAAAGGGCCTCGACCTGCGGGACCTGACGGCGCTCTCCGGCGCGCACACCGTTGGCGTGGCGAAGTGCAGCAGCTTCCGGCCCCACGTGTACAGCGACGCCAACGTCGACCCCGGGTTCGCCATGTTCCGGAAGCGGCTCTGCCCGACCGTCGGCGGCGACGCAAACCTGGCGCCACTGGACCCCACCAGCCCGAACCGGTTCGACGTCAGCTTCTACCGCGACCTGATGGCCCGAAGGGCGCTGCTGCACTCCGACCAGGAGCTGTTCAACGGCGGGCCGGCGGATGAGCTGGTGCGGCTGTACAGCTCCAACGGCGGGGCTTTCGACAGGGACTTCGCGGCGGCCATGGTGAAGCTGGGCAACATTAGCCCCTTGACGGGGTCCGCCGGGGAGATCAGATTGAATTGCCGGAAGGCGAACTGATGAGATTGCACGAATTCTTTACTGCAAGTAGTCATACAACATTTTTATACGTGTACGTATGCAGAAAGAATTTGTGAAGACTACCCATTCGGGAGTCGGATTTTATTATTTCTTGATTCGTGTGGTGACTGTCTCGGGCGTGCGTTAATGGCGACGGTGGTCCTGCTTGCATCTCAAAGGTCTCAAGATAACATGCGGCATGGCTGTCCCATGCACACACGAGAACGAAAGAGAGACACACACATTATCCCCGTGAATCTTCTTCCGGTGTTTGGCTAGCTGGATGACACGCACAATGCTCTTTTATCTCGCCCACATCTGAACCATGTGACAGCGTTACCAGGAAAATGTTCACCCCCACCCCAAATCCTAACTCGACAAATGGTAATATACGTGGCAAAACAGTCGGTAGTAACATGGTGAGACCCGGTCAGTAATCAGATATTTGAATATTAATCTAAAATAATGATTAAAAAAATTTATCTATATCTAGAAATGATAGGCAATCAAGATCGATTATTATTTACTAAATTTATTCTATCTTTAGGTCGTTGACATAGCGTTAGAGGGTGAACTCACTCAACCTCTTTCTTCGTATAGGACAATCGAGTACTCATTCAAATCCATCTCAAACTTCAAGAGCATATGAGATACCCTTTGGCCACCTCATACGTCTTACACATATAAGTCTGAACCGACTCAAGTTAACTTAGACATTATAGACTTTATCTTTATTATTTTATTATTAAAAAGAGGGCTTATGTCGTAAGCATATCAACACGTCGATCCACTCAATGAACGCTCGAGCAATAGTGCTTTGCCCCTGACCCATATCAGCTTTACCTTGAGGGGGTAGCAGTCGATGTTCTCAACCCCCGTCACTACCACTTGACATAGATCCAAATGCAATACTTGTATCTATTTAATGATCATGATATTTCTAAATGGATAGAGATAGCCACCCACATGTTGGTCCCAATCAAGATTTTTTAAAACTTAAAACAGTAGGTTTGTCATAACTTTGTTCTCCCATTGTTGAGTTCAACGAACCTATCATCCTCGATCTACTATGCCTCAATATAAGTCTAAATATATTACAAAATTTCATATAGTACATCTTTTGAACAACTGCAATAGATGGATTAACACTTAGAGGATATACGTTAGGAGTTCCACTTAACTAAAGGGGAGGAGAAGGGGGGGGGGGGGGGTGAGGAGTGGTGGGATCCCACCAACCTGACCTCAATTGAGTTATTTATCCAAAAGATTCAAGAATAATCGATCCACATAAGCTTTCGATTGCTGACCCTAGAAGTGTTTGATATAGTTGCAAACCCAACGGAGCATGTCATAGCTTTCCATGCTTAGATGATATTGTATAATATGTCGAATATCCTAATATGTCGTACATTCTACATAACTGTATAAGGCATGACTTGAGAATGGTACATTGGCCTCAAGCAGACTTCATTGCCCTCCCCCCATAGTTCTCACACAAGTGTTTATTATAGAACTTAAGCCCTCTTAACTTTTTTGATTATATGTTAACCAATATTGAAGCAATAATCTTAAGAAAGCATAAGCAATCACATAAATGATTCAAGTAGGGGCAACTAGCCCCAACTTCAACTCCACATTATCTCAATGAAGGGGACCCAATTGAGTTGGACCATCTTACCCAAGAACGAAGCTAACCCCCTTCAACATGTTGTAAAGCAAGGTATTCCTCTAAATGAAAGAGAAGGGGCTATTGTAAAGCCATTACTCGACGAGGTCACCATTAGTTAGAAGAGATAAATCAAAGTATTATAAGTTCTAACTAGATCATGATCACAACACCAAGGATTATCTTTACTTAAAAGAGCAAGTCAAGGAGCTTATCCGTCAAGAATACCTTGGACACATTGTGCATAGGTATTTAGAACCCTCATTTTAACTACAAGGGTTAATGAAAAGATAAATCAACATTATAATCGATTAATTGAGCTTATGAGAGGACATTTTATTGCCCCGTAAAACTTATGCAGACTCAAAACCGAGAAGTGTCAAAAGATGAAGAGCCACTTAAGATAATATTTGACGAAGAAGTAGTTCATCTCAATCTGAATTGTAATTATGCCCTAAGGATCTCATTAAGAATGATCGACACTCTAGTATATAGCTATGGTAATATCCTATATTATAACATTTTTAAAAAATTAGATCTATTGGCCAACAATCTAATCCCGATGTCCTCTTCTTTAATGGGATTCACTAGTTATTATATCTCTTCCTTTGGCACCATCAATCTTTATATCATGTTCGAGATGATGCCCTACTCCAAGACGATATCGATAAAGTTTATAATAGTAAACATCCCTTCGGTGAACAACTCGATCATGAGTTCGTAAACATTGAATATACTTTGAGTAATGATATTGACCTATCATATATTAATTGAAGTAATGGCATTGACCTATCATATGTTAATGAAGTTTCTAACATGACTAATCATCCGAGAGCTGATGAGAATTGCAAAGGAGCTGCACCAATATTACCTAATGATGATCTCTCTTTTCAAAAAAATAATGTATTCCCGATAGGTCCATGGGCCACTATAAAATTTGCACTCCATCTCAAGCCACCCATTTTGAGATCATGAGAAGAATAATTATTGGCAATAAAATTTAATTTTACAATACCGAATTCGAAGAATAGAATTATATTAGACTTATAACATCTAATTATGTTAGACCAATAAGAAAATAATTATCACAATCATCAAACAGTTAAAAAAGTGAGTCAGGGGACAAAGAGCACATAAATTGACAAATCACCCAGTATCCTAAATAACCCCAAAGATTAAATCAAGAGAGTTCCTATTCAATCTAGCCTTTGGTACCATGACCTTGTGTTGAGTGGTTCGCCAAGGCAACTTGACTCCAAGCCGGCCTCGATCTCATCGGTAAATTTCAAGCCTAAGCACACTTTGAAGATGCTAAAACCAGCCAATGAGTTAAAATGCGCTTTATGCACTCATCATATTTCTTCAATTGGATCGAAATCAAACCACACGTCTTATTTCGACCAAATGTTATAGACCAAGAATTTATCGAGGATTTGCTTGGGAAACAATGACCTATGGCTTAATAAAACCAGATGTTAGTAGGAAACCAGACGTCTTTACCACCCAAATTGTCATAGACATAAATCAAAAGGAAACGTGAGTTGATAGATGGATACCTCTCACCGAAACATCCATTAAACTTCCAAAAATGGTCCATATTGTGTTCTAGTAGCCAGAATTAGTCAAAAAATTAGGCAATTTGTAGTAGTAATTCAAGTGTCATAAACCACTGGACTCAGTCAGACCAATTAATAACAGTGCAAATGCAGTATCTATAGCAGCAGTTCGCCGCACGGCACTCCTCTCATCCTCAGCTCAGAGCATCAGGATGCCGTAGCGATCTCCATCCTCTCATCCTCAGCTCAGAGCATCAGGCTATACAGTACCAACGGTGCGGCGGTCGCTCGGGACTTTGCAGCGGCCATGGTGAAGATGGGAGCTGTCAGCCCGCTGACTGGAACGGTGGGAGAGATCAGATCGAACTGCAGAAGAAGAGTGAACTAATTCGTCCGTGGAAAGTTTGCGACCTTAATTTGGAATAAGGATTATTGTTTTTCTGTCTACTTTGTTTGGGACTCTCATCCGGTTAACAGCAGCAGCTACTGGGGAGGGGATTGTTTGCTTCTTGTTTTATCTCAACACAGATCAATAATGTTGATGAGATAATCGAACCAATTGTTCCAAGTGAAACAATAAATAGTAAGAGCCATGTCGAAGATGCCGACGCCATCTTCGCCCCTTGCGATGCCGCTTTGTTTGATTTCTTAGGCCGTGATGTCTCGGTATTGCTGGGTGATACCGCGACGTTTACCGGTGAGAAGAATGCTTACCCCAACCGCAACGTTTCAACAGCACGTTTTTTGTGTTAGGTTCCATTTGTTGTTCATTTATATAGAGAAAAAGTACCGAGGACATATAGGCGGTGGGCCCACGCTCGTCAGCTACCTGCTTTTGACTGGCTCCAGCGTGATGGGTCCGACACAAAGACCGTCGGCTCTCCCTTTCACAGGGAAGGTAGGTTGCGGGTCTTTGACAGCAAGTAATAAACGCGACGGATCTGGTTCGAAAGCAGGCGGCCGAATCTTCTTGGCCCATCAACTGAGGACCCAGCTTTGTGGGCCAAGCGAAGCGAGCGTCGAAGAACATAACTACGTCTCGTTCTAGGTTTCCACTCGCCTCCGACGGTTCCGTCCCTCTCTTTCGCTGTCGCCCCGTCGCCGCACGCGATCTCGTTGATTCGTCGAGTGGAGATGACGGAGGGGAAGCCCAAGAGCCGCCAGTCCGGAGTCTGGAGCACCATCAAGCCCTTTGTCAATGGCGGCGCCTCCGGCATGCTCGCCACCTGCGTCATCCAGCCCATCGATATGGTCAAGGTATACCGCAGATCTTCCTTCCCCTCATCCGGTCTTTGGTTCGATGCGCTTTTGCTCTTATTCATCGAAATATGATCATGATAAATGTTGTGTTTTCTGGGGAATCTGAGAGCTTGTATTTTTTGGAAAATGGTGTTCTTCTTTCCGTGCTAGAAAGCTCATATTTTTACGAGATTTAGCGATGGCCTCTCTGTGGATCTGTGATCTAATTCTAGCTTGGTCTTTTTTGAGTTACGATCCGGTGGTTTGAAGAATATTGTATGAATTTCAGGTGAGGATCCAGCTGGGTCAGGGGTCAGCTGTCCAAGTTACGAAGAACATGCTTGCCAATGAAGGATTTGGCTCCTTTTACAAGGTTCGCTTAACGTGATTTGTTTTCTGCCACAATATAAATGCCAACTCGCTGTTTATTGGAGTCATGTTTTCATGTTTTGGATCATTTTTCATCATTCTGGTGTGTTGTTCTGAGACAGGGACTATCAGCTGGTTTACTAAGGCAAGCTACTTATACGACTGCACGATTGGGTTCCTTTAGGTATTTTTTTCTTCTTCAATTTTTCTCGAAATGGTCTTATTTCACAATTAGTTAAGCCTGCATACTGGATTTTTTTTTCTGAGGATTTGGCATTTATCGGCATCGTTTATAAATCAAAACTGATCCAAATTGCTTAACCTGTGCTTGAGGTTTGCAAAGGCTTAGATAATTAGCCGAACTGGTAGAATGTGTTAGATTTGCAGAAATGTTGTCGATTCTACATATTGGATGGCGTTTAAGGTGACCAGTTAAAAGATGAGTTCAAGGTGGTTGCGCCATTTTTGGTATTCATGTTGTATACTTATTCTGGTTGAATGACTTCAATTTTTACTCTAAGCAAAATGGTCAACTGGACAAGATTGATCCTTGACAATCTTATTTGGAAATTTTTGGAAACAAGTTGAGATTGCAAATGAAGCTATACTATTGTGGTTGCATCATAAATTTCTTTTAAGAAGTTTCTTCTACTTTCTATGGACTTTCCATAGAGTCTCCTCTCGGATGAAGATGGTATGGCGTGGATTAACTTGGTTGTGTTTGTGTGGCCTACATTCCATGTTGATGATTAGTTAGCAAATTTGTAAAATTCAACCTAATCTAAAGGATTTTATAAAATTAAAAATGACTATAGTGTACAAGGATCCCACCAATGTGGATTTTGAAGAGAATCAACTTGCATAATCTTTTGCAAATAAAGAGGTGGTTTCGGTGACTCAAATCTTGGTCACTCTTGTCACCATAGAGCAACCTTCTTGTTGCACCAAGACTTACCCTATATCGGATTTGGCAACCGGATATTATTATTCTTCTTTTAGTTTAAATTGAAATGGATATACTTGATTACTAATGTCACAAAGTTTGGCTCTGTATATAAATACAAGTCATTATTCTTGTTGATTATTTTCAATCACCTGTTGGCCCCCTTTTTTGTTTAGGGTGCTGACAAACAAAGCTGTCGAGGCTAATGATGGCAAGCCACTGCCTTTGCTTCAGAAAGCTGCTATTGGTCTTACAGCTGGAGCAATTGGAGCAAGTGTTGGAAGCCCAGCTGATTTAGCACTCATCAGGATGCAAGCTGATGCAACTTTACCTGCAGCACAACGAAGAAACTACAAAAATGCTTTCCATGCACTCTATCGTATCATTGCTGATGAAGGGGTTTTGGCTCTATGGAAAGGTGCAGGTCCTACAGTAGTACGAGCGATGTCGTTAAATATGGGTATGCTTGCATCATATGATCAGAGCATTGAGCTATTCAGGGATTCTCTTGGTTTTGGTGAAGTTAGCACTGTAATTGGTAAGATGCAAAGCAATAATGCCATCTGGTCTATTGATCTTTCTTTATGGAATATTGATGACTTTTGCAAGTGATAGTCCTCCTAACATTTCAATATATGGTTCTTGATCTGGTGGATATCCTTTGTGTTATGAAATCTGCTTTACCAATATTGTGTCTCTAAATTAAATATAGCTTCCTACATCAGAGGTTTTCTAAAATTGTATTCACCTAAGATTATTTCAGGATGTCTCGTCAGATAGTTTTTGATCATTCTAAAATTTTAGATCTTGGTTACAAGATATTAGCATTTGAGGTTTCATAGCAAGCACCACCTCTGCTATAAAATCAATGATAATCTAGAGTAGCTCCTAGAAGATTGTTGTGATCTCTGGTGTACTTCAAATTGTCTTTTAAACTTGAAAGGCTAGATCTTTAGCCAAACATTAATTGTTTGGAAAGACTTTGGTTGCTTTTCATAAAGTTTGCTTTTGATTTAATGTGGTTATACTTCTTTGCTCTGCATCAGTTTCATGAATAATCTTGTATGTGTTTTATAAGTTTAATTTTTCTTGCAGATGTTTTCACTTTGTTTGTGTAGGTGTGATCATTCTTTTTTTAAATGGCTTAGTAGCTCTTGTAGATTGCAAGTTATATTCTGAATATCTATTGTTCTGGTAATTCTTTTTTCTGGCATATCTTCTCATGTTTACTTGTCAAGTATGGTTATGGTATTCAACTCATGCATTTAATTGACAGAAGTTACAATAGTTTAAGTAGGAATTGATCTGGAATGTCTCTATGGACTTCTTGAACTTTGCATATTTAACACCTGTACCAAGTTTTATCTTTCGGTAATATAATTATGAATTTTAAAATGTGCCCATATGGCAATATTTAGTACTTCTGCTGCTGATTGTCCTGATGCTACTCTATTTTCATTTCAGGGGCAAGTGCTGTTTCAGGGTTCTTTGCATCTGCTTGCAGTTTACCATTTGATTATGTGAAGACACAAATACAGAAGATGCAGCCTGATGCCACTGGGAAGTATCCTTACACTGGTTCTTTGGACTGTGTGATGAAGACCTTAAAGTCTGGCGGGCCTTTCAAATTCTACACCGGATTTCCCGTCTACTGTGTCCGAATTGCTCCACACGTCATGGTAAAGCTTTGTCACTTGTAGGAAAAATGTATTGCTGTCGGTCTGTGAACACATTGAATGGTTTATTTTTCTGGATTCTTAAAAAGAGGTTGTTTTGCAGATGACGTGGATATTCTTGAATCAAATTCAGAAGGCTCAGCAGGCAGTGGGCTTATAGAAATTCACTTAATTGGGAATGGTATAAGTCGAATTTAATTGTTTTGGAATAATATCATTGAACACAGGCTGGTTTTGATGCCATGACAGCCTTTGGTTTGACACCATCTAGCCGTGTGTGATTGTTGTTGTGTTGGGGAAGTAGTTCCATACATTTTTTTTAGGTCGATACTATGAGTCGAGTGGCAGGCAGTACAAGATACTCGCCTCGTTGTATTTCTCCATTAAAAAGGATCTCAGATCTTATTTTCTTAATATCATCATGACTGTTGGTTATGAGTTCTTTCTCTTGGAATCACTGCTGAAGATAATTATGATGATGTGCAGCTTGTAATGATAGGCTGTTTTATGCCTCATTTCATACGGGACGGAACCTTAGATGGACTTTTATAGGTATATGTATGCGGCAGATAACGGAGACACCTGCGATCCTGAGTTTGTTGTGAATCACGATGTATTCAAATGAAGCGTTGCATTCTTTGTTTTGGTGCTATAGAGATTATGCTTGGTCAATCAAGGTCAAATCAAATTAAACCTGAAGCAATTGAGACTACGAATCTATAATAGATTTGTCTCTTTTAGGTGAATATTCGAGTTAATACGAGTCGGGTTCCGGATGTCAGGGTTGACGGTCCGGATCTGGTTCGGGACAAGAAATGATCTTCCTAAGCCGGGTTCAGTCAGGTCCGTCCGGCCCGACGGTTTTACAATCGTCTGACTCGAGCCTGATCTGTTTCCGAATCCATGGGCTGCCCCCTTAAACCAGTCCAAGAGGCCCATCTACGTACGCATCATTTAGGGCGCGGGCGTGCCCCGTGACGAGAGACGGAGCGCTACCCGACGCGATCGCCATGGTTCAGGGGGAAGTCGGCACCAAGCTCGTCCGGTTGTTATACTTTGTCGGCGCCGGAAGTATCTCCTTTTCCCTCTCTACCTGCGCCTCATATGTTCTTTCCTTCTACCTCGTCACTAACCTTTCTAATCGCGTAAAATATTGCTCTATTCGATCTCTTGCGCCTCAGTTATCTGCACCAAGGGGATCAACCTATGGCGTGATTACGAACGGAAGGCCGCCGCCACAAGTATGGCCGAGATGGCAACTCAGACGCCAACGAAGATGGTCAATGGACCAGACGCAGCTGCCTCAAATTCTTGATTCCCGGGTTAGGGTTTCTTATTTCTGGCTGTAGTGGTTCTTGCAATGTGAGGGTTTCACGCTTGCTGTTTATTGGATGCTTGATGCAACCAATCATTGTCATCTTGAGTTAATTCTGGATCTGTATATTTGCTTTCTCTTGAAAAGGCCTACATAAATAAGACATGCTGTAGATTGCTTTTCTTTCCGTATACTTGAATAGTGGAGCATGCTCTACGTATTTCCTTTCACTTGTTCACCTTAATCGGTACCTGAACTGTTAACTGTGGAAATATTTGACTGAGTTTGCTGCAGTAGAATGTTGTTTCTTGTTGGCAGCGAAGAGCCAAAGTCGGCGAAAGGAACTCTGCCGTCAATTTGAGTTTGATAGTTATTGTAATCTTCACCAGTTTGCTAAGAGTAAGATGGTACGCCGTACTAGCGGAGAGTATGCATAAGATGAGTACAACAGAAGGCACGACATATTACCTTGAATAGTTTGAGGCTGTATAGCTTATGCCAAATGATACTTAGACCACTTTGGAGGATGAGTCAAAAGGATCTATGATGGAGATGACAAATGGATTTTGATATGTTCATGTCATGGTAATGTAGAGTTTCAGGTCAGAGAGACATTTATCTTTCTTTTTTGGCTGTTGAGGAAAATGGGATGATACCTACTTGATGGCTAACTTGTAGTTCTAGTGTAAGTCACAATGTAATGTTAATTCATCGTGATATTCTGTCTTACAATGTGAACTTGTGTTGCTGTGTCAAAATGAGCGTTGCTTAAGCTGGACAGAAACTGGTTTATTAAGTTTTTCATAGGTCGATTAGTGTATTAGAATTTGGAGAAGATGTTTTCCTTGAATTAATTCTGGATCTGTATATTTGCTTTCTCTTGAAAAGGCTTACATAAACAAGACATGATTGTACTGTAGATTGCTTTTCTTTCGGTATATGTGAATAGTGGATCATGCTCTATGTATTTCCTTTCACTTGTTCGCCTTAATCGGTACCTGAACTGTAACTATGGAAATATTTGGCCGAGTTTGCTGCAGTAGAATGTTGTTTCTTGTTGGCAGCAAAGAGCCAAAGTTGGCGAAAGGAACTCTGCCATCAATTTGAGTTTGATAATTATTATAATCTTCACCAGTTTGCTAAGAGTAAGATGCTAGGCCGTACTAGCGGAGAGTATGCATAAGATGAGTACAACAGAAGGCACGACTGGTTACCTCGAATAATTTGAGGCTGTGTAGCTTATGCCAAATGATACTTAGACCACTTTGGAGGATGAGCCAAAAGGATCTATGATGGAGATGACGAATGGATTTTGATATGTTCATGTCATGGTAATGTAGAGTTTCAGGTCAGAGAGACATTTATCTTTCTTTTTTGGCCGTTGAGGAGGAAAATGGGATGATACCTACTTGATGGCTAAATTGTGGTTCTAGTGTAAGTCACAATGTAATGTAAATTCATCGTGATATGCTGTCTTACAATGTGAACTTGTGTTGCTGTGTCAAAATGAGCGTTGCTTAAGCTGGACAGAAACTGGTTTATTAAGTTTTTCATAGGTCGATTAGTGTATTAGAAATTGGAGAAGATGTTTTCCTTGAATTAATTCTGGATCTGTATATTTGCTTTCTCTTGAAAAGGCTTACATAAACGAGACATGATTGTACTGTAGATTGCTTTTCTTTCCGTATATGTGAATAGTGGATCATGCTCTATGTATTTCCTTTCACTTGTTCGCCTTAATCGGTACCTGAACTGTAACTATGGAAATATTTGGCCGAGTTTGCTGCAGTAGAATGTTGTTTCTTGTTGGCAGCAAAGGGCCAAAGTCGGCGAAAGGAACTCTGCCATCAATTTGAGTTTGATAATTATTATAATCTTCACCAGTTTGCTAAGAGTAAGATGCTAGGCCGTACTAGCAGAGAGTATGCATAAGATGAGTACAACAGAAGGCACGACATGTTACCTTGAATAATTTGAGGCTGTGTAGCCTATGCCAAATGATACTTAGACTACTTTGGGGGATGAGCCAAAAGGATCTATGATGGAGATGACTAATGGATTTTGATATGTTCATGTCATGGTAATGTAGAGTTCCAGGTCAGAGAAACATTTATCTTTCTTTTTTGTCTGTTGAGGAGGAAAATGGGATGATACCTACTTGATGGCTAATTTGTAGTTCTAGTGTAAGTCACAATGTAATGTTAATTCATTGTGATATGCTGTCTTACAATGTGAACTTGTGTTACAGTGTCAAAATGAGCATTGCTTAAGCTGGACAGAAACTGGTTTATTAAGTTTTTCATAGGTCGGTCGATAAGTGTATTAGAAATTGGAGAAGATGTTTTCCTTCTAAATTTCGTGAAGAATCCTGTTCCATGCTATATATCTATATATGAGCTTCTAATCACATGGAACAAGCCATCTCGGAGTTGGAAGAATTTCTTATCAGGACCAATTCTAATTGTTTTTGGTTAAGGGTGAAATTGGAATAGTGAGAAAGCAAAATGTATTGCAATTTCCATAGTAAAGGTGATTTACTACAGGCATGGTGATAGGAAAGGGAGCTGATAGAAAAAGAATATGGGGAAACAATATATATATATATATATATATATATATATATATATATATATATATATATATATATATATATATATATATATATATATAGAAGTGAAACATAAGTGGGTAGCAGGGCTACACAACTCAATTGTTTCATCCTCTGTGACATCTGTGATGATGACTATTGCTGCCTTGTTCCATTTACTTGATTGTATGATCTAGAGCATTATATAGTTGCCAAAGTTGTCAGCTAATCTAGAATCGACGATCAAGGTTATAGCCTCCTCTTGATAATGCAATATTGCTTATTAGGTAAATGGTTTCTAGTCTTGAGAAGCACACATTAGGCAGGCATATTTCTCATAGCAGAAAGCAGAATAGAGCACAAGATAATATTAGGACATTAGATTGTGCTTGGTAATGATGTATTTTCCTGTTTGGGAGCAAGATGTATGTACTATTGGGGAGATTGAAAAGGTCTCTGAGGATTGTCTTTGTACCCATGACATTTTAATAGGTTGTTTCCGATGGTACCAAGTTCATGAATATACACACTGAAGGTCTCCAGTTGTTGGGACACAACATCAGTTTCTTTTCAATGTATAAATTTGCTATCTGGAGAAGAAGATGCGTAAGAATTATGCCTTTAAGTTTCCAATTATTGTTGTTGTCCAAGGTGCTCGTCGCTTGAAAGGAAATCCACATTGGTGAGGTTAGTGCTTGAGTTTTGATTGTCAAATAATTGATTTGTAGTTCCTTGTGTCTTTCTTTTGTTTGAGAGCATCCTTGAATTGCATGTCAACTTGCACACAGTTTGACTTCGACGTCTCGACGTGTTGGTGAATTTAGTGAAGCAAACTAAGAGAGGTTTTGCAAAAGAAAATGTTCAAGAATTCGATATCAGATCCTTTTTATCTTATAAGCCATGGTTGCAAGCAATTACAATCTACAGAGATGAACCTCTTTTTGAAGGAAGCTTATGTTGGTATTGTCTAGTTAGTATTTGGTATAGTTCTCTTTCTGAAAGCAGATGGGGGTCAACGACAATTTTCGTCGCACAGGGAATTCTGGTGACCTACTTGCCCAACAAGCAACGTCGAATCATATTGATGACCCAACTGAGACCTCAGTTTCAACCTACCCATGTTGACTTGGATCAGGTTCAGGCATTCCAAGATCGAACAACAACACATCAAGGATTTCAGAAGTAAGCTTGGCTGGAAACCATCAGTAGCTTTCTTATTAATTGGGTGACAGGTACCCCCGGCAAGGCTCCATAATTGGGGTTTGGCAATTTGAGATGGTGAGCAGCGAGAAGATACCGTCGGAGGATCTTGATGGTAACACTGTACTACTTTCATGGAGATAAAATAAACCGGTGGCCGCTCTAAGTTCTTGCATCAGTATTGATCTCTCTGCCGTGATGGCCTCCATGATTAAACTGAGAAAGGATGGTTGATCGATCCAAGGGGAACAACGAGGAAACTGCACCGGAGGAATACAAACTTTCCAGAGACTCCATTGTCCAGCTCAAACTTCACTTGACACTGACATGATT